TATGGCCATTTTCATGATATTGATTCTTCCTATCCATGAGCACAATTTTTTTTCCATTTGTTCGTGTTCTCTCTTATTTCCTTGAGCAGGGGTTTGTAGTTCTCCTTGAAGAGGTCCTTCACATCCCTTGTAAGTTGGATTCCTAGGTAATTTTTTCTCTTTGTAGTAATTGTGAATGGGAGTTCACTCATGATTTGGCTCTCTGCTAGTCTATTGTTGTTGTATAGGAATGTTTGTGATTTTTGCACACTGATTTTGTATCCTGAGACTTTGCTGAAGTTGCTTATCAGCTTAAGGAGTTTTTGGGTTGAGATGATGGGATTTTCTAAATATACAATCATGTCATCTGCAAACAGAGATCATTTTACTTCCTCTCTTCCTATTTGAATACTCTTACTTTTTTTTCTTGCCTGATTGCCGTAGCCAGAACTTCCAATACTATGTTGAATTGGAGTGGTGAGAGAGGGCATCCTTGTCTTGTGCCAGTTTTCAAAGGGAATGCTCCAGCTTTTGCCCATTCAATGTGCTATTGGCTATGAGTTTGTCATAAGTAGCTCCTATTGAGATGTTCCATCATTACCTAGTTTGAGAGGTTTTAGCATGAAGCAGTGTTGAATTTTATCAAAGACCTTTTCTGCATCTATCGAAGTAATCAAGTGATTTTTGTCATTGGTTCTGTTTATGTGATGGATTATGTTTATTGATTTGTGTATGTTGAACCAGCCTTGTATCCCAAGAATGAAGCTGACTTGATTGTTGTGGATAAGCTTTTTGATGTGCTTCTGGATTTGGTTTGCCAGTATTTTATTGAGGATTTTCTCATTGATGTTCATCAGGGATATTGGCCTGAAATTTTCTTTTTTTGTTATGCCTCTGCCAGGTTTTGGTATCAGGATGACGCTGGCCTCATAAAATGAGTTAGGGAGGAGTCCCTCTTTTTCTATTGTTTAGAATAGTTTCAGAAGGAATGGTGCCAGCTTCTCTTTGAACCATCTCTTAGAATTCAGCTGTGAACATGTCTGGTCCTGGGCTTTTTTTGGTTGGTAGCCCTCAATTTCAGAGCTTATTCAATTCAGGGATTTGACTTCTTCCTGGTTTAGTCTTGGAAAGGTGTATGTGTCCAGGAATTTATCCATTTCTTCTAGATTTTCTAGTTTATTTGCATAGTGGTATTTATAGTATTCTCTGATGGTAGTTTATATTTCTGTGGGATAGTGGTGATAGCCCCTTTATCATTTTTTGTTGTGTCTATTTGATTCTTTCTTATTAGTATGGCTAGCGGTCTCTGTATTTTGTTAATCTTTTCAAAAAATCAGCTCCTGGATTCATGTATTTTTTTGAAGGGCTTTTTATGTCCATATCTCCTTCAGTTCTGCTCCGATCTTAGTTATTTCTTGTCTTCTTCTAGTTTTGAATTTGTTTGCTCTTGCTTCTCTAGTTCTTTTAATTGTGATGTTCAGGTGTTGATTTTAGATCTTTCCAGCTTTCTGATGTGGGCATTTAGTGCGATAAATTTTCCTCCTAACACTGCTTTAGCTGTGTCCCAGACATTCTGGTACATTGTCTCTTGTTCTCATTGGTTTCAAAGAACTTCTTTATTTCTGCCTTAATTTTGTTATTTACCCAGTAGTCATTCAGGAGCAGGTTTTTCAGTTTCCATGTAGTTTTGTAGTTTTGAGTGAGTTTCTTAATCCTGACTTCTAATTTGACTGCACTGTGGTCTGAGAAATTGTTATGATTTCTGTTCTTTTGCATTTGCTGAGGAGTGTTTTACTTCTAATTATGTGGTCAGTTTTAGAATAAGGGCTGCGTGGTGCTGAGAAAAACGTATATTCTATTGATTTGGGGTGGAGAGTTCTGTAGATGTCTATTAGGTCTGCTTGGTCCAAAGCTGAGTTCAAGTCTTGAATATCCTTGTCAATTCTGTCTCATTGATCTAATATTTACAATGGGGTGTTAAAGTCTCTCACTATTATTGTGTGGGAGTCTAAGTCTCTTTGTTGGTCACTAAGAACTTGCTTTATGAATCTAAGTGCTCCTGTATTGGGTGTGTATATATTTAGGATAGTTAGCTCTTCCTTTTTAATCTTTGTTTAAAGTCTGTTTTATCAGAGACTAGGATTGCAATCCTTGCTTTTTTGCTTTCCATTTGTTTAGTAAATATTCCTCCATTCTTTCATTTTGAGCCCATGTGTGTCTTTGTATGAGAGATGGGTCTTGATTCTATCCAATGTGTCAGGTTGTGTCTTTTAATTGAAACATTTAGCCATTTACATTTAAAGTTAATATTATATGTGAATTTGATCCTGTCATCATAATGCTAGCTGGTTATTTTGCACATTAGTTGATGAAGTTTCCTCATACTGTTGTTAGTCTTTATATTTTGGCATGTTTTTGCAGTGGCAGGTACCAGCTTTTCCTTTCTGTATTTAGTGCTTCCTTCAGGAGCTCTTATAAGGCAATCCTGGTGGTAACAAAATCCCTCAGCATTTCCTTGTCTGAAAAGAATTTTATTTCTCCTTTGCTTATGAAGCTTAGTTTGGTTGGAAATGAATTTCTGGGTTAAATTCTTTATGAATGTTGAATATTGGCCCCCACTCTCTTCTAGCTTGCAGGGTTTCTGCAGAGAGATCCATTGTTAGTCTAATAGGCTTCCCTTTATAGGCAACTTGGCCTTTCTCTCTGGCTGTCCTTAACATTTTTTCCTTCATTTCAGCCTTGGAGAATCTGACAATTATGTGTCTTGGGGTTGATCTTCTTGAGTATCTTAGTGGTGATCTCTGTATTTCCTGAATTTGAATGTTGGCCAGTCTTGCTAGGTTGGAGAAGTTCTGGGTAATATCCTGAAGTTTTCTAACTTGGTTCCATTCTCCCCGTCACTTTTAGGTACACGAGTAAATCATAGGTTTGGTCTTTCCACATCATCCCATATTTCTTGGAGTCTTTGTTCATTCCTTTCCTTCTCTTTAATCTTGTCTTCTCACCTTATTTCAGTAAGTTGATCTTCAGTCTCTGATATCCTTTCTTCCACTTGATTGATTCAGCTATTTATACTTATATATGCTTCATGAAGTTTTTGCACTGTTTTTCAGCTGCATCAAGTCATTTATGTTCTTTTCTAAATGGGTTATTACAGTTAGCAGTTCCTGTAACCTTTTATCAAGGTTCTTAACTTCCTTGCATTGGGTTAGAACATATTTCTTTAGGTTGGAGAGGTTTGTTATTACCTGCTTCTGTCAATTTGTCAAACTCATTCTCTGTCCGGTTTTGTTTCCTCACTTCAGAGGAGTTGTGGTCATTTGGAGGAGAAAGGGCCTTCTGGTTTTTGGGATTTTCAGCATTTTTGCACTGGTTTTTCCTCATCTTCATGGATTTATCTACCTTTGATCTTTGAGGCTGGTGACCTGTGGATAGGGTTTTTATGTTGGGGTCCTTTTTGTTGATGTTACTGTTTTCAAACAGTCAGGCCTGTCTACTACAATTTGCTGGAGGTCCACTCTAGACCCTGTTTGCCTGGGTATCACCAGCAGAGGCTGCAGAACAGTAGAGACTGCTGCCACTCTTTCTCTGGAAGCTTTATCCCACAGGGGCACTGGCTTGATGCCAGCCAGAACTCTCCTGTATGAGGTGTCTCCCAGTCAGGAGGCACAGAGGTCAGGGACCCACTCAAGGAGGCAGTCTGTCCCTTAGCAGAGCTTGAGTGCTGTGCTGGGAGAATCCTCCTTGTCAGGATCATCTGCTCTCTTCAGAGCTGACAAGCAGGAACGTTTAAGTCTGCTGAAGCTATGCCCACAGCTGCCCTTCCCCCAGATGCTCTGTTCCAGAGAGAGGGGAGTTTTAGCTATAAGCCCTGACTGGAGCTGCTGGGGAAGCCATTTTTATACATGAAGAATAATCATTGTTATCCAGTCCTTCCCCTCCACAAATAAGAAGAAACAGGAAGCAGAGCTGAGGAGATCAGCAAACAAAAATGCCCACAACCAGTATTTATTCTTGATTTGTTATCACTCTTTTCATGTCTCATTTTCCTCCATGTGTTAAATATATAATAACCAAAACTTTATTAACATACAAATAAAGAAAACATGCGCAGCATGTAAGCATGGCAGGCAGTGAGGAAACCTGGCCAGCTGACTGGTTCTTGCACCAAGGTTTACAGAGTAGGTTGTGTTTGAACATCTTCTGTGGGTCTGTGTCATTTTCAAGTTGAATTTCAATCAAAGAGCAACATATGTCACATGGGCTAAAGACAGTTAATGACACAGAAGTGTTTCTGTTCATACTAAGGGAAAAGGCTGTTCTTTTATTTTTTTCCCCATGAGTTGTCACTTTGTTCTTTTCTGACAAATGTTTTAAATACAGTGAAATACCAAAGGAGACGAGGATTAGGCAGACAAAGGATGGAATCAGAAAAAACAGAAATGGAATCCAGGAAGTTGTGTGAGACACAACTGATTTCCTTCATAAAGAAAAAATGTACAGAATATTTAATGAGTCTGTCTTGGGAAAAGGAAAGGGAAAAACATATATATATATATATATATATATATATATATATATATATATATATATATATATTTGTTTTATATAAGCAGCTAAGCCATTTGCAGAAGGGAAAAACATCATGGGAAAAAGAAAAATATCTCTAATATCTATAGCACATGAAATATCTAAGTAGGTGGGTGCAGTGGCTTATGCCTGTGTTGGGAGACCCAGGCAGGTGGATCACTTGAGGTCAGAAGTTCAAGACCAGCCTGGTCAAGATAGCGAAACTCCATCTCTACTAAAAATACAAAAATTAGCCAGGTATGGTGCCTGTAATCCCAGTTACTTGGGAGGCTGAGACAGGAGAATCACTCGAACCCAGGCAGTGGAGGTTGCAGTGAGCCAAGATCACACCACTGGGTGACAGAGCAAGACTTCATCTAAATATATATATAATTTAGTAAATATTAAAGGACAAGAGGGAATATCTTTAAAAAATTATAATGCACATGTTGGATGAAAGGTACTATTATAGGATTAGATCGTTGTTATTGAAATAGCAGTTGACATATAAATTCAAACATTCATTTTCAAATTCAGCTTCTCAGAGGTCTGACTTCAGATGCCTGAGCACTTTCAACATTATCTTTGCCTTTATCCTTCTTCATGCGGATAAACACAACTGCTAAAATTATACCTAAAAGAAAAAACCGAGGCTCAAATAAATGGAATCTTTTCAAATGTACTGTCACATTCATTTATGAAGTAGTACTGTGATGGGAAAAAAATGACTCAAACTCATCTTTTTATGTGGTTTAACAAAGTTTCATTGTCCTAATGAATAAGGGATTGTAGTTATTGACCTTCTTGGAGAGAAATGAGCTTATCATTTATCCTGTTGTATGTATGTATCAAGTCCCAAACCATAGCTGACTTGGTGGCTCTCACTGGATCTCTCCCTAAGAATATAGGACCTAATATGCCACACTATGGAGTGTATAAGCACCTGACAAAGGTCCTGAACTTTATATATACTTAATATTGATTCTATTCTTCCCCTTTCCTAGAGAAAATAATCCAATTAGCACAACCAGAAAACTGTTCTCTGACCTGCTCACCTCCCTGAAGCTGACTTCCATCGTGTACACACCAAATATCGCATTTCCTTGCACACCTTCCTCTTGCATCCTGCCTACATTGTTGTGGGACCCTGGGTAGACAACTTTCTTGGTTTCTCCCATCTGATGGATTAAAATTACAGTGTGCATCTTAGCACTGATTGTGTACCGTCAAACAGTCTACTACAAAGAAGGGAGCTGTTTTAAGGAAATTAATCTGCTAGTAAGTTTATAAGAGGAATCATGGCAGAAAAGACTGGATGCTCAGAAACTTCTTGTTTTCACAATAGGGTTGGAATTATAAGGGCATGAAACTGTAAGATCCTATTACTTCTATTTCTAGATGTCCCCAAATTCAACCAGTCTTTAACTTGCGGTAAGATTATAGAATGAAATTGGCATGTTAAGAAAACTGCTATTTGATATGTAAATTCAAAAATCCTTTCAAGGTGGGAGGGCAAATAAAGCAGAGGCAGAAGGGACCTTGGTAAGTGAGTGGGACCTCAAAAATCCAGCTCAATTACAGTAAAAATTACCATGAAAAGTGTGCAGCAGATAGTGGTTCTCAGGGAGAAATGGTGATCACCAGGCACACATTAGGGTGGGCAGTGGCCATGACAGGAACGCCCTCCCACACCGTAGGGAGTGTGGACTGGAGGGTATAAAGAAATGGGGACCCCTTTCTCTGATGCATGAATCAAAGTCCAGTGTGACACACTGGATCATGAGATAAAAGACCAGATGCTGAGAGAACAATCAAGAATACTTAGAATAATCCTAGCCTTTCTTTTAAAAGAAAAAGCATATGAAACCATGAACCGCTTCACTTAGGTATGCATGAAATAATGAAGTACCTGCTTCTAATATGTTTAGCTTGTGGTGGGGACAACACTTGAAAGAAGATAATTACTATATATAGCTTGAGTATCCCTAATCTGAAAATCTCAAATCTGAAACTTTTGGGGTACCAACTTGATGTCACAGGCAGAAAATTCTACACCTGACCTCCTGTGACAGGTTACAGGCAAAACTTTGCTTCATGTACAAAATTACCTAAATTTGGTATGAAGCCAGGTACCGTGGCTTATGCCTGTAATCCCAGTACTTTGGGAGGCAGAGGGGTGGATCACCTGAGGTTAGGAGTTTGAGACCAGCCTGGCCAACATGGTGAAACCCCGTGTCTACTAAAAATACAAAAACTAGCCGGACATAGGTGGCGAGTGCCTGTAATCTCAGCTACTCGGAAGGCTGCGGCAGGAGAAGTGCTTGAATCTGGGAGGCAAACTTTGCAGTGAGCTGAGATGGCGCCACTGCACTCCAGCCTGGGCAACAGAGTGAGACTCCATTAAAAAAAAAAAAAAATTGTATGAAGTGCTTTCAGACTATGTATATAAAGTGAATTTTATGTTGAGATATCTTGAGGATGGGACCCTAGTCTCATCATGTATTCGCAAATGTTCAAAAATCTGGAAACAATTCTGCTCTTAAGCATTTTGGGTAAGGAAACAATTTGAGTGGGCATTGAGTTGTTTGGAAAAAAGAATAAAAAAAGACAGCTACATCAGGGGACTCTACTGTCTAGCCAGGCCAGAGGCTATGGCAGAGGCTGTGGTCATGATGCAATGAGTTATTCTGAGTAATAAAGAATCAGGGTCCTATGCATAGGGAAGTTCTGCACTATACATTTCAGGTACCTCAGTGTCTCCACAGAAATAAGGGTATGCATGATATTGTACCTGGTTTTCAGGGTATTTACCACCTTTTTTAAAATATAAAATTAAGAGTGCAAAAACACTAAACTTCACATTTCTAAAAAATTTGATTTTGTCAACTTCTACCTATAACAACAGTGGCAGGTGAGACCATAAACTCGGTTGTTGGATCGATATGTCTTGCCTGTCACTGTATCCTCCATATCAAGCACAGTGCATGATGCATGACACAGCTACTGCATTTCTTCCCTCTTTATCACAAAACATTGTAACTAGGCATAAAATATAGCAATTGATGGCTATAAAGCCCCTTATATTTCTGAACTAAACAATGAGGCAATAGAGGCAGAGGGTGGTACTAAAGCTAAAACTCCAACCAAGAAAGTCTGATATAATTTGCCAGTGATTCTGGGCTATTGCCTGGGTGGCCATTTGAGCAGCCATTAGACCAGTCCAGGAAAACAGGCCCTGAGATAAGCTCACATTTCTGAGGCCCAGGATATGACTTTTTGAATTAAGAAATTACACTCACCAATGACCAGAAGGGTGGTCAACAGTATACCAACTGCCATGCCCACGGTGGGTATCCCAGGCTGGTGACCTGCTGGCCGGAAACAGCTTCCTTCCACACAAGTGCAGAATGTAACTGAAAAGCAAGACAGTATTTTGTAGGATAAATATTCAAGTGAATAGTTGCAGAATCCCCCATCAAAGAGGAGAATCTCCTCAAATGGCCCATGGTGACAGATACTAGCCTGAGTTGCCTACAGCAAAATACCTACCTGGTAAAGAAACAATGCCTTCTAAGGGGGGCCGACCCCCATCGTTGATGCGGATTAGGACGATATATTCCCTCTCCTCAAAGCTTGTGTGCCTGGTAGACAGTCGGGCATGAGTGCCTGCCAGGACAGGAAAGAAAACATGAAAACACAACTTCAGACTCTAGATCAGCAGGAATAAAGCTCACCTTGCATCACATACTAAGGTTGACTGGAACATGGCTGGATATGAGTTAAGCTGCCCAAAGTATCACACACATCATTCCACATGTATCTTCTCATAAGGTAAGAAAGGGCTAAAGCATCCTTTAAGTTCTTAATTCGTGATTTCTCTATAGACATTAATACTAAATATGGTCAATTATCATTTCTCACACTTACGGTCTATAAAGTTACCCCAAACACTGAATTAATGAATACTGAACCATTGCTCCTAGAGGAAATACAGGATTAGCTTCCTGTGAGCTTCTAGTCACATTTTCCCTAACCGATCAATATACAACTTTGGTTTTTTGCATGCTTATGTTTCAAGATATCTTATTTAACATATATTGTTGACTCTAACATTTCACGCACATCTAACAGCACTAGAATTCCATCCTGAACCAAGCTTATCAAACACACACATTTTTAGGTTGGTGGGAAAAAAATTGCAGTTTTGGCCATTACTTTTAATCTGTGGCCCAAAACCACAATTTTTCTCTGTAAGGCACACATCACAGCCTTCCTCTGCTTAGGAACTCTAAACAAGACTTCAGCGCCATTTTAAACCATGAAACCATCAATGAAAAGCACAAAAATGTGAAAAACGGGGCACTACAAAAACTGCAAAAGGAACAAAAAGACCCACTTAACAGCATAAGAGATGGGAACATATGTGTCCAGGAATTCAAATTTCACCACTCTGCCAGTGTCCATGAAAGCAAAAGCTTTAAGTACTGACTTTTGGGTTACACATTTTATCACTTAGGTGATTTTATAAACAGCGTCTGCAAATAATGGGATCGACTGTGTATGTCAGAAGATTGGAGAGTACCTGGGACTGAGCATCTGTAGACCTGACCTGGGTTTCAAATCTGCTGCTTGTTAGCTATGTCATTGGGTAAGTCATAACATTTATAGGCCTCGAAATCCCTCTGAGTCCAGAAATAAGGGTATGCATTGATATTATACCTGGTTTTCAGGGTATTTACCACCTTTTCTTAAAATAGAAAATTAAGAGTGCAAAAACACTAAATTTCAAACGTCTAAAAAATTTGGTCTTGTTACAATTCATGCTTATGCCCTCCCTGTTCATATCTGCCAATGAATTTTCCCAGACTGGGGAAGACTTAAATATTCATATTTAAAAATCATTATGGCCCAACTAGATAACATATAGTAACAGGGAACAGATTTACCATCCCACTAAAAACAACTAAAAGAACAGAAAATATATGAAACCATGGTTTTAAAGATTTATATATTAGGCAAGGGACAGTGATTTCTGAAAGAAGAAAAGCAAATGAGGTAAATATTATAATTGCCTCAGCTTATCATCCAAAGCAAATATTCAGGTCTCAGTTGCAGAGAGTGGAATGTTCCTGTGATGTCCCTGAGTTGAGGTGATGGAGCACAGGAGTAAGGGGAGGTCAAGGCAACTAGAGTTTACAGAGCAGAGTCCCAGAGAGAGCTGCAAAGAGAATGCTCACTAAAGAAATCTATAGAGGGGTCTCTGAAGGCTTTAGCTGAGTACTGATCAGCGTCTGTGTATGAAGAAACTACTCAAGGCTGGGGAAAGAACCATCTGAAAGAGCACAGAGCTTACAAAGGGCCAGGAATCATTCCTGGTTCCAAGACCTGAAAATCTCATAATTCGTGTGCTACCAGGTGGAGTATGTAGAAGGCTTCGCCTCACAAGTTTGAAAACATTAACCCTAGAAAAGTCCTACCTAAGAAAACTTAAAAGCAACACACACATGAAAGTGTCAAATTTTTTCCAAGTAATCTACCTGTATTTCACAATAAAGTTCAAGAATATTTATGGGAATACAAAATATTCAGCATCCAAATGTCTGGAATTAAAAATTGCCAGACATTTAAGAAAAGAGAAAAATATGACTCATGAGAGAAAAGATTAATTGAAGCCTACCTGGAAATGACATATATAAATAGTAGGAAAAGACATGAAAACAGTTACTATATTCTATGTTCAAGAAGCTACAAGACTGAGAAGTATAGATGGACATGGAACATATTTTAAAAACCCACAGCTAAGAAAACTACAAATAGAATAGGTTGTATTAATGGCTATAATATAGCCATTGAATATAGCGGGGAAAAAAGCAGTAAACTTGAAGATATAGAAATAAAGCTATCCAAAAAGAAATAGAAAAAAAAAGTAAGTTTGAGACAATTTAAGTGGCCTAACATATGTGTAATTAAATCTCTGAAAGCCAAGAAAGATAGTGGAGAGAAAAATATTTGCTGAGACAATGGCTAATATTTTTTCCATGTTTAATGAAAACTCCGAATTTTCAGATCCAAGAAGATCAGCAAACTTCAGGCACAAGAAAAGTGAATAAAACACCACCAAAGCAATATAAGCATCAAATTACTTAAAACTAGTAAGACAGTATCTTAAAAGCACCCAGAGAAAAAATAATACAAACATTCAATGGAACAAAGAAGAAACCATAGTGGGCAGGGCACCCCAGGTGGTTCACACCTGTAATACCAGCACTTTGGGAGGCCGAGGCAGACAGATTACTTGAGGCCAGGAGTTGGAGACCAGTCTGGCCAACATGGAAAAACCTTGTCTCTACTAAAAATACAAAAATTAGCTGGGCATCATGGTGTGCGCCTGTAATCCCAGCTACTAGGGAGGCTGAGGCATGATAATTGCTTGAACCTAGGAGGCTGAGATTGCATCAGTGTACTCCAGCCTGGGCAACAGAGTAAGACGATTGCCCAAAACAGCAACCAAAATGGTGAAATATCTTTGAAATACTGAAAGAAAAAATGTCTCAAAGTTAAAAGTATTCTAGTCATATGTTTTCTGGTTATGATATAATTAAATTACAAGTCAAAAAGTTATAGGAAATATTCCCAGAATATTTGTAAACTAACACATGATCACAAAATCTAAAGGGTTGGGTTCTACTGGAGTCATATAAGAGGAAAAAAAAAAATCTAAAGGGAAAACACAATGTATCAAACTTTGTGGGCCAGGCATGGTGGTTCACACCTGTAATCCCAGCATTTTGGGAGGTGGAGGTAGGAGACTCACTTGAACCCAGGAGTTTCAGACAAGCCTGGATAACACAGGGTGATCCCCATCTTTACAAAAAATTTGGCCAAGTGTGGAGGCTCCCACATGTAGTCTCAGCTACTTGGGAGGCTGAAGCAGGAGGATTGTCTGAGCCCAGGAGTTCAAGGCTGCAGTGAGCCATGATCACACTACTGCACTGCAACCTGGGTGACTGAAGGAAACCCTGTGTCTTAGAAAAAAATGCAGCTAATGTAACACTAAGATAAATTTGTAGTACTAAATGTCTGTTTAACAAAAAGATCTCAAATTAATGGCAACAGTTTTAATGAAAACAGAACAAGAGCAAAAACACAATGTAAGAAGAATAAAGGAAATAATTAAGATCTGGCCAGTGGAATACAAAACAGAAAAATAGGGGAAAAAAAAATCAATGAAACCAAAAGCTGGTTCTTTGAGAATATCAGTAAAATAAACTTCTAGTCAGATTATCAGGAAAAAAGACAATTTGCCAATATCAGAATGAGGTGACAGCACTACATATTCTACAGATATTAAGAAATAACAAACTATCATGAACGATGTCAATAAATTAGATAAATGAATAGACAAATTATTTGAAAGGTACAAGCTAACAAGCTCAACCAAAAAGAAATATATAAATTGAATTTTCCTATATCTACAAAAGAAAATTGAATTTGTAGTTAAAACTTCTTTTAAAAAAATACACCAGGCCCAGATAGATTTACTGGCAAAAACTTTAAGAAAGAAATAATACCAATTTTATGCACACTTGTCCACATAATTGAAGATACAGAGGTCGAATGCTTCCTAACTCATTCTACAAGGCCAGCCTTGCTCTGGGGCCAAAGTCAGACAAAGACAGTACAAGGAGAAATAGACTAATGTCCCTCATGAATATAGATTCAAAAATTATTTAAGCAGTTTTAGCAAATCAAACCTAACAACATATAAACATGGTAATCCCAGGAATATGTTAGTTTTAGATTCAAAAGTTGCTATAATTTATCAATTAATAGACCTAAAAAATTAAATCAGCCACATAATCAATACATGGACAAAAAGCACTTGAATAATTTAACATCCATTTCTAATTTTGAAAAAAAAAAAACAACTTCATAAATAGGAGTAAAAAGTAAAGTCCTCAAACTAATAAAGATCACCTACAAAAAACCTGCAGCTAACATCTTACTTAATGGTGAAAGGCTAAATGCTTTCTCCCTAAGATCGTGAACAAGTCAAGTATTTCTGCTCTTACTACCTCTATTTGACATTGCACTGAAGGTTTCAGCCGGTAATTAAAGAAACAGAAGGCAAACAGATTGAAAAGGAAGAACTGTCATTATTCACAGACAACATGATCATATATGTAGAAAATCTATGAAATCTAAAAAAATAAGGTCAGCAAGGCTGTGGAACAGGCGTCCCCAAACTTTTTACACAGGGGGCCAGTTCACTGTCCCTCAGACCGTTGGAGGGCCGCCACATACTGTGCTCCTCTCACTGACCACCAATGAAAGAGGTGCCCCTTCCTGAAGTGCGGCGGGGGGCCGGATAAATGGTCTCAGGGGGCCGCATGCGGCCCATGGGCCGTAGTTTGGGGATGCCTGCTGTAGAATATAGATTAGTATACAAAAATTATATTGCTATATCTAGAAATATTTAAAATATCAAACATATGAAATGATTAGGGAAAATTTTGCAAGAACTACATACTGAAAACTAAATCACATTGCTGAAAGAAATTAAAGAGCTAAATAAGTGGAGACATAGTTGGAAGACTTAATTTTGTTAATATATCAATTCTACTCCAGATTCCCCTATAGATTCAACACAATCTCAACAGGCTTTTTTGGTAGAAAGGAACAAGCTACATTCTAAAATTTATATAGAAATGAAAAAGACATAGAATGAAGGAATTTTGAAAAAGAACCAAGTTGGAAAAATTAGTCTACCTGATCTCAAGCCTTCTAGAGCTACAGTAATCAAGACAATGTGTTATAAAAATAGACACAGATGGATGAAACAGAAAAATCCAGAAATTGATTTATGTATAGGTGGTCAGTTGTTTTTTGCCAAAGTTGTTAAGACAATTCAATGTGAAAAGGATGTTTTAAACAAAAATGGTGTTAGAACAGTTAGGTAGCTATGTTAAAAACAATAAACTTCGGTCTTTACCACGCTGCCTATACAAGCACATCTCAGAGATATTATGAGTTTGTTTCAGGATCACCACTGGTCATTAGAGAAATACAAATAAAACCGTTATGAGATACTACTCCATGCCCACTGAAATGGCTAAAATCAAAGAGACTGAGCACAGGAAGTGCTGGGAGACCGCTGAGCAACTGGACCTCTCACACACCGGTGAGAATGCAAAATGTTAAGAACAATTTGGAAAGCAGTTCAAACTTTTCTTAATCATACACCTCCCGTAGGACTCAGCCATTCCACTCCTCAGTATTTAACCAAGAAAACTGCAAACGTATGTCCCTACAAAATATTTGTTCAATCCTCACAGCAGCTTTTTTTGTAATAGCAAAAGTTGGAAACACCCTTAGTTACAATCAACAGGTGAAAAGACACAGTCATTCAATGGAATACTACTCCTTAAAAAGGAATGAAGCATTGATGCCTGTAACACCACCAATATATCTCAAAATAATTATGAGGTGAAAGAAGCCAGACCAAAAAAAGTATACGTACTATACTATTCTACTTAGATAAAATTATTGAAAATGAAAACTAATCTATAGTGATAGAAGGCACATCAGTGGTTGCCTGGGGAAAGGGGATGGTTGGGAAGTGGAGATTATAATAATAGGGCATGAAATATCTTCTGGGGGTGGTGGAAATGTTCATTATCTTGATTGCACTGATGGCTTCAGTGGTATTTACATATAATGAATTCTCATGGAATTGTATACTTTATATATTATATCTCAAAGCTTTTAAAAATTTCTATAAAATCTGCTTTCCAGCTGTCATTGGAAATTTTGCAAATGATTCCTAGGTCATCCAACTGCTCATCTACACCAACCGGATGCTGTGTGGTCACAATCTTTCCTCCCTTGAAAGCCTGGGGCTTTGTCCCCTCTGGAGTCCTTCCCTACGCAAGTTTCCAAAGCATAAACTTCCTTCCTGAAGCACGAGAGAAAGCTCTGTGCCGAGTACTACAAACCCACCAAGTCAATTAAAACCTGCGTTCACCAGTCATCTGTTTTTTACCATGTATTTTTGACAACTCACCATTGATTTTGGAAACTTCCCAGTCGTTTTCTAAGTTTCCACTGGCGAGGGAAAATGTAAAGTGGGGACCCCGCAATGAGGGCTGATCGTCATCAGTAGCCTCGAAAATGAGACTTCCAGGTGCACTGAGCGGGTGGCAGAAGAACAAGCCTGTGTACTCCTTGGCCAGCCTGGGAGGGTTGTCATTCACGTCTGAAAGGGTCAGGTGGAACTCTGACACAGAGCTCAAGGAAGAACCCCCTAAAGAATTGAATGATTGAAACATGGGATCAGTTCACTCATTTTCCTCTGAACAAGAAAGATTTCCCTTTCTTTAACATTTAAGCAGTTAGGTACACTGAGATGCTACAAAAAAGACAAGCTTTTGAATCAAAAACCTAGTTTCATTACTGGAGAAAAAGACTTACTGACCATTATAATAATAACTAAGGTCTATGTGCTAATATTGTACATCTATTATTTCAAAATAATTCTGAAAACTGAGCTCAGAAGTTGTGTAACTGGCCCAAGGCAGAGAAGTTTCAATCCAAGAGGTCTAACTCTAGCACTCACACCTTCACTTGCTCCTTACCAGGCCTTAAGCATGTTAGTCGAGTTTTCTAAGCTTACTTTCTTCAGCTGCGTGGCTTTGTGAGCAACCTGCATATAAGTGAATGTTCTGGAAAAGTAAAAGGCTCCGCAGACGTTTACTGTATGATAGGAATGAAAAACTTGGACTCTGCAGCATAACCGGTTGGTAGCTGCGTAATCGTGGGCATTTACTTAATTTCTCAGTGCTTTGGTTTCCTCGTTCATAATATGTAGTCAATAATAGCACCTACCTTATAGTGATGTGTGAGGAGTAAGTTATTACACTAAGTGCTGTGTATGGGGCTGTCAATGCAGCATAAACACTGACCATCATCATGTTCTCCCCGACACCAATCACAGACATTGTTTCTACAATCTGACTCTGACCTTACTTGATTCCAGGAAATATTTTCTTGCTCCTGCTTTGTTTCCAGTAAACCCTGTTTACTTGCTTTTCTTCTCCACATCTTTTATGTCCATGGCTACACTTAACCAAAGAAGAAAAGGGTGCTGTGTGCTTGAAGTCATTGTATCTATTTACAGCATGTCAGTGTCAAAAACTAAAAACAGAACAGGGTTTTGGGCCCTGGTTTTGATTTTTGAAACTTCTAGAATGTGAGAAACTCTTGGGACACATCCAGAGTGAACTGCTGATCCCCATGGTATGAGAAAGGGGTGTGCCTGGCATAAAGGCTCAGCCAGAACCTGCCTGCTGCTTCACTGGGAGCTTTTAAATCAAGAGTTAAATGTACACAATGTGATAGCAGAATGTGCTTAACTCAAGCAAGAGACAGAAACAGAGGGCCTGTCCACTCACACACACCCTTCCCAAGCTGGCACGCGGTTTTGCCTTCTACCCTTTTTGGTTTGACTTGACTGAAGTAATTTTGTTTTTCTTAGTCTTTCCATACGCAGGGACCATTTTTATGATTCCTGTCTCTGTTCTCCATTTCAGTAAACCCTGGGCCTCACATTCTGAAAGTTTTTTTTTGTGGGGGGTTGGGGAGGTCCTAAAACTATATTTATTGAGTAATAATTACTTTAATTATCTTTTCTGGTAAACCTGGCAGATACATTTACTAGCTAATTAGAGCCTGATCAGCACTGGATCAACAGATTTCCTACATATGTTTGAAAATTCCATTAAAATGCAAAGAAACTCAATTTGTTAGTTGCCAGGCTTGTTATTGAGTAAACATACTACTCTTACAAGTTTATTTTTATTTTAAAAATTACCTAAAACTCCACCTTTGGAGCCAGCAGGCAATATATATCACCACAACTGAAAAAGGATGCAAAGACTATACAAAAATGGCTCAAACGTCCCAGGCTTTACGGTATAATAGTCTTTCCTTTCAAAAGTTCACCTGATTTCATCAAGACACAGATTACCCTGGTTCACCCAAACCTAAGGAAGCAGAATCTCCAGGGGTGGACTCCTAGTGTCCATATTTAACAAGCTCCCCAGGGGATTCTGACACATATCAAAGTGGAGAACATTTCATAAAACATTTTCTGCTTCCAAAAGGATGAGAGTTACAATTTAAGGCTGAAGGAACAAGTGGTGGTCTAGGTGAACAGGTGAGTGGTTTGACTCCACTCAAAGCTCCTGGGAGAAACCTACAACCACATTGAAAGAAGGAAGGTAGTTCAGCCAGGGACATGGAATCTTCTACAAGAGGCCGTAGCTACTACGGGAAACCACAGAGTGAGCAGCACCCCTGCTAGGGCACAGGTATTTATCACCTTTAGCAAAACCATAATGGGGCCGGGCATGGTGGCTCCCCTGTAATCCCAGCACTTTGGGAGGCTGAGGAGGGTGGATCACCCTGCGGTCAGAAGTTTGAGACCAGCCTGGCCAGCATGATGAAACTCTGTCTCTACTAAAAATACAAAAATTAGCTGGGCATGGTGGCACATGCCTGTAATCCTAGCTACTCAGAAAGCTGAGGCAGAAGTATTGCTTGAACCCAAGAGACAGAGGTTGCAATGAGTGGAGATTGTGCCACTGCTCTCCAGCCTGGATGACACAGCGAGACTCCATCTCAAAACAAAAACGAACAAAAAAACAGGAAGGTGTGAGCACTCCCTTACACTTTTCTGCCCTTCTCATCTTTCCACTTTAAGGTTGTGATATTCTGGTGCTTTGGCACTGTCAGTTTTCTTATCTTCCCTCCCATTTCAACTCATGTATCTTCCGATAATATATGTTCCTTTTATTTGCTTACCTACTTCGGTGGCCACCACTTGTACCCGATACGGACTTCCAGCTTCTCTGTCCAATGGAGCCACACTAAAGATCTCACCAGTCACGTGGTCAATTTTAAGCCAACCTCTTGTGTCTCCTCTCAGTGAATATCTTCATCAAATGAAAAGAGCAAAAGAAAGCCCACATTACTTTGCATGAAAATGTGAAGATAGTTCATGCATCAACTAAATATGTTTGTGCATCCTTTAAATATGTTGTAAGTACAAATGATAATGCTCATAATGATAATCTCAGCATTATCAATTGTATATTATTTATAACAAATTTAAAAGATCTGTTATTAATGCTTTGTTTGCATTTCATCTTCAAAAGGAGGATTTGTTCATCCTTACAACATGGTGTTTGTGCTTGTGTTAGGAAGGGTATAGTTCACAACCTCTGGGGAAAGTAGTTAAACTTTTATGGCAATCAAAGAATTCAAGTTAAAGTAATCCAGAACTATCTTTTAAAACCTCTTAGCAAACCACCCATCTAGAAAATTTGAACACCCAGTGGTGGAAACATTGGGCGAGATGGGTGGATACTCATAGACCCCGGCAATGCAGTGAATTCTTCATCCAACAAACATCTATTGAGTGTGGAGAAGATCAGGCAGTGGACCAAGGGCAGAGGTTACAAAATGGGGCACTTAGGCAAGCAGAAGAGGTAGATGAACAGATAATTCCAATGACATGTGGCAAATACAGCAGAGGGGGCCCTATGGAATCCAAAAGAAGTTTATAGGAATCAGCAAAGTCTTTCTGAAGGAGCAGAGGTTAAAGGCAAGAACAGGACACTTCGAATAGAAGAAGAGTATGAGCTAAATTACCAGGGGCCAAGGAGCAGCATGGTGAGTGTGGGATCAGGGATTTCAGCAGTGTTGGGTATGTATACATGGGGAACAGAAGGTGGCAAAAGATGAGCCAGATCATACGAAGCAGTGGGCAGCCAGCCAATGATTTAAGTTTCTCAGAGGTGAACCTCACCTCCTGAACTGTCCAGCTCTCAGCTGGGACCTGAAACTCATGGGCTGGAATGGAATCTCATGCCACTTCCCCCTTGTCTTGAGCCTGGATGCTTGTTGATAAACCACCATCCCTTGGAATGCCCCCCAGGGGTTGACACCTTCCTAAACCAAGGCCAAGCTCATCATTGCTGGGTATGCTGTGCTCCTCAACCCTGGAGTCAGTACAGGCCAGCTCCTCCTCCTTTGCACTGGCTTCGGTGGCCACACAGCCAGGCCTGCCCCCCCTTACCTTATGTCCAGACCTTCTGGATCCTTGGCAGTCACATTGCCCACTTTAGTGCCTATAGCTACATCCTCACTGACTTTTGCTTGGAATACATGTTGGGGAAACTGAGGTGCTTCATTCACATCTGTCACAATTAGCGTGAACTTGGCAAAAGAACTTTCATTGTACATCACACCAAACACTAGAGGCTCAGGATTTTCTGCTTTGAACACAATGTTGGAAACAGCTGCTGTTTCAAAATCAAGAGGCTGTGTAGGAAAAAAAGAAAGTTATTTTTGGAGTATTAGCTCCCTTAAAAGATTCATTCCCTATGCTTTTTAAACTCTCATATATTCAACATATGATATTGGGAAAACTGGATATCCACACAAGAGAATGAAATTAGACTATCTCATACCGTATATGAAAATCAACTCAGATTATAGACTAAAACATAAGACTAAAACGCTAACACCACTGGAAGAAAACTTGCTGACATTGGTCTTGGCAATGATCTTTTATTGTTTTTTATTTTTGCGATGGAGCCTCATACTCTGTCACCCAGCCTTGAATGCAGTGGTGCAATCTTGGCTCACTGCAAGTTCTGCCTTCCAGGTTTGTTCAAGTGATTCTCCTGCCTCAGCCTCTGGAGTAGTCGCCATGCCCAGTTAATTTTTGTATTTTTAGTAGAGGCTGGATTTCACCAGATTGGCCTGGCTGGTCTCAAACTCCTGACCCCAAGCAATCTGCCAGCCTCAGCCTCCCAAAGTGCTGGGACTACAGGCATGAACCACCATGCACAGCTGGAAGAGAAGTTTATTTGGCTCCCAGTTCTAGAGGCTGGAAAGCCCAAGAACATGGCACCAGCCCCTGTTGAGGACTGTGACAGAAGGGCAAGCCATTTCTTGAGATGGAGAGAGGAAACTCATCCTTTTATTTTTAGTAGAGACGGGGGTGTTGCCATGTTGGCCAGGCTGTTCTCAAATTCCTGATGTCAAGTGATCTGCCCACTGTGGCCTCCCAAAATGCTGGTGTTATAGGCATGAGTCACTATGCCTAGCCTACAATGATCTTTCAGGTATGACCCCAAAAGCACAGACTACTAACGCAAAGATAAACAAATTGTATTGCGTCAAACTAAGAAGCTTCCGCAAAGCAAAGGAAACAGTGAAGAGACAACTTACATATTGGGAGAAAGTATTCGCACATACACTTTTGAAAAAGGGTTAATAAAAAAAAAATTTTAAGAAACTCAAATCAGTAGCATGAAAACAACCTGTTTAAAATGTAGGCAAAGGACCTGAATAGTCATTTCTCAAAAGAAGACATACAAGTAGCCAAACGTTATATGAAAAAATGCTCATTATTCATCATCAAAGAAATGCAAATTAAAACCCCAATGAGCTATCACCTCACACATGTTAGAATGACTATTATCAAAAAGACAAAAAATAAACATTGGCAAGGATATGGAGAAAAGGGAGCCCTGTACACTGTTGGTGAGAATGTAAATTACAAGAGCCACTGTGGAAAAGTATGGAAGAACCTCAAACAATTAAAAATAGAACTACCATATGATCCAGCAATCCCACTACTGGGTATATATGGTCAGTATGTCAAAGAGAAATCCTCACTCCTATGTTCACTGCAGCATTATTCATAATAGCCAAGACATAGGAACAGCCTAATTGCCCAACAACAAATGGATAAACAAAATGTGATACACACACACACACACACACACACACACACAATGAAATACGACTCAGCTTTAAAAACGAAGGAAGTTCTGTCATTTGTGATAACATGGATAAACCTGGAGGATATTATGGTAAGCAAAATAAGCCAGGCATGAAGAGACAAATACCACATGTTCTCACTGGTGTGTGGAATCTAAAGTGTTGAACTTAGAGAGTAGAATGGCGATTACCAGGAGCTGGGGTGTGAGGAGACTGGGGAGGTGCTGGTAAAAGCTTACAAAATTTCAGTTAGAAGGAATAAGTTTAAAAGATCTATTGTACAATGTGGTAAATAGTTAACAACAATATAGCGTATACTTTAAAATTACCGAGAGTAGATTGTGTTTTCATCACAAAAAATGGTAAGTATGTGAGGTAATGCAGGTGCTAGCTAACTCTAATTAGCCATTCCACAATGTATACCTATTTCAAAACATGTTATACTCCCATATAATTATGTCAATTATAAACAAGACAAACTCTCATAGAAGTGGTTCTCAATCTAGTATCAGCAAAAGCCTTCTCAGAATGATTACAGAGCCATGAAAAAGTATTTTTTCTGCAGGACTTATCAGAGCTTGCACTATGCTGATGTGTCTTAGAAGACGAATTGAAACATGGAATGCCTCAAATTTATTTAGCTGTGGGATACTTCATTTATTCAACAGGAATTTATTGATGCTCCCAAGAGTTCTCAGGTGACAGCTTGGGAAATACTTACATACAGATTTCCATTTTTTATGGGAAATAACTTTCCAGGAGCCTCGAAAGTCAAGCTCCCAAATCAAAGATTTTAAACCCATAGAGGATGGGAGAGGGAAATGGAGGTGACAGATGATCTGCTGAAGAAATGCCAGATGGAACCAGGAATGCACATCGAGGAACCAACTTTGGGTTCATATGAGGCAGAACTGAACAGTTAGGGCTACCCAAGAGTACTCTCCCAGCTCTTCAGGAGTGGGCTCCCTGCTGACCTCTCCATGTCTGCTTCTTCATCCCTACATTCAATCCTCAAACCGACAAGCTGCACATCCTCTGCAGTCTCATAGCACCTAACAGTTCTAACTGTTGATCTGTTTCAGATCTTCACTGACCCTAAGCTCTGTGAGAGGAAGACCCGCGTCATATTCATCTGTGCTTCTCGTCTCTTCCCCAGCACGCAGTGCCCATAGCCGATCGGTCAGGAAATACAAAGACCAGAAAGGCCTGGTCCTTGAGGGCCTCCATGGGGAGGAGATTCTGGAGAACATCCTCACCCTCCAGAGCCCCCTTCCCCTCATGCATGCACCAATACACACCATCGTGACTCACACTCTAGTTCATAAGTGCTGTGAGACAATTTTTCACGTGGAAGGGTGGGAACCATGTGTAAAGACTCGGGTCATTTGAGATAGAAGCAGCAATTGAAATTTGTTCAGATATGTAAGATATAAAATCATGTAAGCCAGCTAAGTGTGACAAAAGAGGCTTTTCATGGTGATAAGCACCCACTCTGTCTGCAGGGCTTAGCCTTCGACGACCTCATGATCACTGCACATGGTCCATGGTTCGATTAGGGGTTCTCCCCTGGTGCGGGGGGGTCAGGGGAGCAAGCTGAAGTTTCTGACTCACAGGGACCCACTCCATGTCCCAGGGGATGACAGCAGGACTGTCCAGTTGAGATAAAAGCCTAGTAGACCAGGAAGGCAGCAGCCCCCAGAATGAGCTTGCAATGGGGACAAAGAACACAGCTCTCTGTTCCTAGCTAGTCCAGCTAAGTGCAGGCCCAGGCAGGCAGCACAGCTGTCCATATGCTCAAGCAGAGCATGTGCATCCATCCTTACCACCAAGTGGGACCTAAACACCCTCCCTGGCTTCTCCCCATGGCATCACTGTGGCCCCAGAGCCAAGGGTTTAAAGAAATGAGACAGTGTATGTGTGCAAAGAGAAGCAGCTTGTGTTACCAGAATAGAATGCGTGAGGCTGAGCGTGGAAAGAGAAGACTGTATGGCGAGCTAAGGAGTTGGAACTTCATCCTTGACTAAGAATGTCAGATCTGTGTTTTAGAAAGAACTCCAAGAGCAGCTGCATGGGGGATGGATTTGAGGTGATCCACAATGGGGTGGGAGACCAGCCAGGAGGCAATGTCAGTGCTCCCTAAACACAGGTTGGAAGAATGAATGAAAAGCAGCAGGCTGCCACTGAGAATTCTATCCATGTAACTTCCACACCTGGAAAAACACCAAGCCAAATCTGGAGAAATCATTAGAAATGGAAGATGCTAAAGTAGCAAATGGTGATCAGCAGAGCTGAACCAAGAACAAGCCTTGTCTGGCCACATGCCTGTTTCATGGCATGGGGATATGACTGCAAAGCCAAGTCAAGTCAGTCCCATCTAGCATGATATATTCAAGTTAACTGAAAAAACCTGCTCATACCACGATTCCTTTTGTGCACACAACTGCCTGAAAGGCCAGACCTAGTGATTCAGATTCAACCTGGAGACAAAGAAAGTGCGGAAGGAGAGGGCTTGAGACTGGGATATTTGCCATTTTCACCAGTGATCTTTGATGAGATCAAGGTGCACACATGAGTTTTCCAGATGACACTTGGGCTGGTTAAAAATAGCGAATGAACTGAGAATTCAAAAAGATCAGCCATAGTGGAGACGTGACAAAATTTGCAAGTTTTAAAAAAAAAAAAAAAGGCAGAACCCTGAATTTCAAGGAGGAGGGTCCCAGGAGAGTTGTTGAGCCAGGCAGGGCTCAAAGAAATAGCTTTCCTGCTCATGACACACGCTTGATCCTGAGAGCATGATAACCAACCACATGAGAGGCTGGAGTGTGGGCAGCAATGAATACAGAGCAGGGAGCATTTCTGACACTTGTTTAATCTGAAGCATCACTTTGGGCACTTGCCAAAATTAGTCCTTTCCAGGCTTTCCCCTTGAGAGACTAAGGCCACAGTCCTCAATATGCACCATTTGACTCTTGAATTAGGCAAGTTTGGCCCCTGTAGGCAACAGGGAAAAGCAAACCTGTCCACAGGTAGAATCCTGGCTCTGATTAATTAGAATCAAGTGATGCCACATGTTATATTAAGTCTGCAACCTGCTGGATGCTGTATTAGGAACTATATATGTATTTTTGCATTTAATTCTTTCAACATCCTTACTAGAAAGGTGCTACCATTTTACCCATTTTTACAAATTGGAAAACTGGGACCTGAGAGGGTACATCATTCAGTCAAGGTCACAAGCTGGTAAGTGGCAACTCCAGGCCTCCCAGAAATTATTTCCTGAGAGGAGCTGGAGGCCTGGAGTCAAGTGGCCAGCTCTGCCATCACCAGAAGGCCTGACTGTGGGCCTGAATCTCTGCCTCCCTTAGGGTCAGTGGGAGAAGCAAAAGAGAGTTTAATGGAAATGGACCACAGTTGCCATATATGAGACCTTCAGTGATTTTTACCTTGATTAGCACATCTGTAATTCAGATGAACTGTAAGTGATATAATTGTATTTAACAAACTTAGTTTAAACTTTTAAAAATTCTTAACACAGTGGTTCTGAACAGTGGCAGTCCCTTTATGGCTTAATAGGCAAGGATTTAGAAGACAAAGCTGTGCATAAAAGCCATATTATACAGTCTATAATTAATTTAAAACACTTTAATAACAAATAGTATGAATACATACATTTGTTATGCTTTTATTCTATATCCTGGGGGCAATTGGCTAACATTTGGTATATCCTAATCAAGAATCCACAGCCCAGGGCTGACTGTTGCTTAGCATCTGAGAGAACCTAATCAGAGAGCTATATCCTAGAGGTAGCTATGATAGTCCTTCAGCCAACACTATCTCAATCAGAACTAAGTTCGTTAATTGGCAAAGTGATCTCACAAATAAATTTTCTTGGTGACATGAGTGGTGTCTGAGACATGCACTCATACTTGTAATCCCAGCACCATGGGAGGCTGAGGGGCAGGTGGATCATTTCAGCCCAGGAGTTCAAGACCAGCCTGAGCAATATAAGGAGATCCCATCTCTACAAAAATAAAAAATTAGCTGGGTGTGGTGGCACATGCCTGTGGCCCCAGCTACTCAGGAGGCTGAGGTGGGAGGATTGCTCAAGCCCAGGAGGTTGAGGCTGCAGTGAGCTATGATTGTGGCACTGCACCTGTTTAAAAAAAAAGTGCTGTTTGGCTAAAAGTATAATGTATCCCTTAGTCATTATGAACAGAAGTATAAACATGTGGCCTGACCAGCAGATTATACCCTTCAGAGTTCCAGGGCTCAATTCTGTTCTGCCAGTTATCACTCACCTCTGAATGGTTGAACAAATCCACTGGCTTAAGGAATTGCTATCACAGTGCCCAAGGGACAGAGAACTGAGATGCCACAGGCCTAAAGCACAGGTTGGATGATCACTTATGTGTCTGCTTGCTAATAATTGTATATGGGACAGAATTCATTTATTAAGTCAAGCAATATTTATTTAACCTGTATGCCAAGAGACATTCTAGACACTTGAAATAGAACCACATACAAAATAAGGATATGACAAAGTTTGGTCAGAGGCCTACTCTACTGTAGCATACCTCTCATGTCAGGTTGCAAGGGAGGATACTTACAGCTCTCACCCCCTGCTTATCATTGAGGTAGGTGCCAACATCTCCCTAAAAGGGCCCATTAACCACAAATGGCCAAGTTAAACCGTTGTTTAAAAAAAGATGACGTGTGGACCTTGGTCATACTGGGATAGATAGACCTCTATCTTCCCTTAGAGTCCTAGTTCAAACTTTTAAAAATTATTCACACAGGGGTTCTGAATACCTGGTCCTGCAAAAGGGTAGAAGAAAGCTGCCCCCCATCACCTGCAAAAGAACACATCAACCCACTGTAAGCTCTGAAAACTGCCCTTTCTTTTAGCCTTTCTTCTCTCCGTGTAGACCACTATGAGCACAATGGGAGGTTGTCATGGTGCCTTTTCCAAATGTCAGACTCACACACAGGCCAAGGCTTTGAGCTGGTCCACAGAAACCTCTCTGCTGAAATGCAGCAGGGCCCTTGTTTTGAGCTGGGATGTCTGATATCAATGGGATTAGAATTTCAAGCCTCTGTCCGAGGGCTTGCTTCACTGGGCTTCTGTCCATTTTCTGTGAAATTATTCTATTTTGTCTTGTTAGGCTCTACTTTCAGTTTTCTTCTATTCTAGCTCAAAACTGTACTCCAGAGCTTTCTTTTGCAACTTCTCGCACACTGCGCTGCAAACCTTAAACAATTAGCTGCCCTTGCAGATTCTCTCTGACCCTTTTTAACAGTGAGGTTTTACTCTTTCCCCTAGGAAAGTATCTTAACTGTAAGTACATTGGATGGCATTGAGTGCCGCTTCCAATTGAGTCATCTGGTAAACCCATGACATGCTCTTACACAGATGAGGCAGCCATAGAGAAAAGAGTCAAGATTCAGGTGTACGTGGCAGGGGACAGGAGTAGACTGAGGGAGGGTTAGGAGGATCCTGTACAGAGACAGGAACCAAGGTAATTAAGGCTTTGACTCCAGATTACCCAGTCCTTACAGAGGGAGAGACAGAACAAGAGTCTAGCAATACAGTAAAAGATGAAAGTAAAGCAGCAGGGAGGGAGATTGAAAAGAAACTTGTCTATTAAACCTTGAAAGGAGACCCAGCAGTTTCATTATTCAAGAGGTATCTCTGCCTGGCACATTACAATAAAGCATTTACAGCGGGGTCATCCAACCCAACACCTCACATTTGCAAAGGGGGACGTGAAAGCGAGGCCCTCAGTGCCATTCCTGACCCCTTGCAGGGCTGGCAGATTTAGCAAATAAAAACATAGAGCACCTAGTTAGATTTGAAGTTCAGATAAATAACAAACAACTTTTTAGCACAAGTGTGTCCCAAATATTGCACGGAACGCACTTATACTAAATTCTGTTAAATAAACGGGCTATTTACCTTTTTAATTATAACATGTCCGGTATTGGTGTGGGGATCCGTGTCAACCCCCAGGCGTCCCTCACTGTCTCCCTCTATGATATGATACAGAATTTTAGAACTCCCAGTAAATGGCTCATCAGCATCCGTGGCCTGGATGGCTAAGACGGTGGACCCAACCTTTGTATCTTCAGCGAGAGTCAGGTTTCCATACTATGGAGAAAAGGGAGAAGGAAACAATGAGAAGGTTTGTTGTCATCAAAGCCAAAGGACAAATTTCTCTCTCTGGTTTCAGAATAAACACAAGCCATAGTTTGCATCAGTCTTCATGGGGCATGTTTCTTCCTATTGATGAATACCGTATGTTGCAATTGATTTTAACAGCTCATACTCATGAGCTGATATCCATTGTACCAAAGAACACAATATCTCAGAGAGCTACTGGTTGGATTCTAAAACAAATTCCCCCTCCCATATGCAGTTTGTTTAATGACTTAATTAATGTAGTAGTAATGATATAAATAGCCACCATGTACGGAGGCTGTCATGTGGTTGGTACATTATATACGTTATTTAATTAATTCTGGAATCAACAAAGGGATAGAGGTTGATTAAAAGCTTGAACTTTAAACAGCCTGAATATGAATCGTAAGCTTGCTTCTTATTAGCTGAGTGGCTTAAAGCAAGTTACTTCACTTTTTTTTTTTTTTTTTTTTTTTTGAGACAGAGTCTCGCTTTGTCACCAGGTGCCAGGCTGGAGTGCAGTGGCGTGATCTTGGCTCACTGCAACCTCCACCTCCTGAGTTCAAGCAATTCTTCTGTCTCAGCCTCCCGAGTAGCTGGGACTACAGATGCGTGTCACCACACCCAGCTGATTTTTATATTTTAGTAGAGATGGGGTTTCACTATGTTGGCCAGGATGGTCTCGATCTCTTGACCTCATGATCCGCCCGCCTCTGCCTCTCAAAGTGCTGGGATTACAGGTGTGAGCCACCGGGCCCGGCGTTACTTCACTTCTTTAAGTGTCAGTTTTATCAACTGTCCAATGTAGACAATGATAATAGAACCTACTTCATGTTTGCTGTGGGCATTAAGGGAGACAATACATGTAAAGCTTCTAAATGCCTGGCACATAGCAAGTGCTCAATAAGGAAAAGCAACAAAACACCCTATGGAGTAGTTATGTTATCATCTCCATTTATGAGGAGCAAAGGCTTGGAGAAGTTAAATCCACTGAGGGTCACACAGCTAGTGGGTCACAAGATTGAGATTCAAAGCCAGGTCTGTCCAACTCCAAAGCCTGTGCTCTTGAACACTCGCCTAGACCATCTCCCACTCTGCTAAAACTCCTCTAGATCATCTCTCTCGGCATCATGATCCTAAAGAGGGTTGTAAGTAGGGTTCAGGAGAGAAGATCACAGCATTGAAAGAAGTAGGTTCAGTCTCTCTGTAGCTAGATAAGTATTTCAGCTCTGAGACACCAAGTACAGGATTCTTACCCTCAATCTAAAAAACACTGTCTCAGTGAAAGGCAGGAGTTCATAAAGTTAGCAAAGGATCAAATGCCCGAGAGAATGGAGGCTGAGAAGACACGGGTTCTTTATTTGATGCCTGCTGAACCTCAGTGCCTGTTATATAAGACATGTCCACTCACACCTCTTCCCACCCCCATTCCCCTCATAAATCAATTCCCTTCTTTGTCACAGCCTTGTTCCTGTTTTGATTTATGAACATCATCACAAGGCTCTGGGCTGCCTCATAACTGACTTTAAACATGACGTAACAGTCTAGTCAAATGGGCTTCTTGCTTCTTCAAAATAAATAAATGGGGACTTCCCTCCTAAGGGAAACAATGATAAAGTCATCACCAAGTCTGAAGTCCATATCAATGACAAGAAAATAGTAATTTGTATTTTTCTTGAGGTTCTCAACTGATTTTTTACTTTCTGTCCAATTCTAATTCTCTCAAATGTCTTGGGCACATTTTTCTTTGGCTTACATCAGAGATTCACTTTTTCTTTTCCCTTTCTCTTACCCAATTATTACAAATTAAATTGCCAATATTCCAAATATTAAATTTTTGACCAAAAATGCTTGAGACCTAGAAGTAATCTATTTATTGTCTGAATACACAAAAATATATAATGACAACCTGCAAGCCCCATTCAACTTTTTTCAATTTGACAAAGATTGTGGTTGCTGTTTTTAAGCAGCCCTTGGAATAAATGAGCTGTTGGCAGGAGTTTATAAACAGATGTTCCCAGACACCTATAACAGTAAATGTTAGTGTTCCCCAAAGAAGTCCACTGAAGATGGCATCTGGGTTATTGGTGAACTGACCAAGGTTACCCGTTAAGCCTGGCATTTTTCCTAACTACTCTCTGTGTCTTTATCCCAGAAGAAGGGGTCAAGTAATATAAACAAAGTAAAGAAAAAACAATGACAACTACTCACATCTGATTTTTCAAAGATGGGGATCTGATCATTGATGTCAATAACATTGATTTGCACAGAACAAAGGGTCTTGAAATCTGAAAATCAAAGTCATAGGTCACAGAAATTTTCACTGAAAATCATACATTAAAATCAGAAATCCACAAGAAAATACCTGGCAAGTGAAGTAGCCACAGTTTTGCAATTGACATGCAATTTATGCAGAGAGTGGGTTATCTGCTTCCCACCTGTACCCAAGTGGGCTCACCAGGTGTGAGGCAGGGTGGTTAAAGATAGATCTAAGAGAGATTTTTCTGGGGTTTTCATTGCTGTCCACCTGCCGTCTTCCTAAGTAAGGTTAGGTAAGGTTTGTTCCTGAGCAGGATGGCTTCTTTTTGTGAAGCAGTCTTTTCCTGACTAATGAATCTTATCTTCAAAGTCCAGAGAAAAACTCTCCTTCCAGAAAGCCTTCTCTGAGCATCCCAGTGGCTGTCTCTCCTTCTCCGAACACATCCATCCTACATCTGCTCTGCCTTCTATGGTGGGGAGGTTCAAGGGCCTGCTCTCTCCTCTCCAAATAAGGAAGGAACCAGTACAATTGGCCTCTTCACAAGTCTGGCTGCCCAGGCTGCAGTAAGCAAGGTGGGGACAGAGGTAGCTCCTGGAACCCTGGAGAAATCACCCAGGCTTTCAGGGATGGGTTTCACAATTCCAAGACCCAGGCAGGTAGCAGCTTCAGCTAGCTTCCAAATGTGTGTGGAGTGCAGGTGGGGACAGGATGCCTGGGGGAGAGAGAACGAGAAACAAACTGACAGGTTCTTTGTTGGCTTGCTATTGTTCGAACCGAGGTGCACTGCACTGTAGTGATGGTTAAGACTCTGGGCTTGGAATTTACTGTTTGGACTTTGGCTCTGTCACTTAGCATATATGTGACAGATAAACAGTTTATCTATAAAATGTGAATAACAGAACTGAGGTTTTCATCATCATACAATTGTTAGTGGCCTCTATATACCAGCAACTGTATGGCTTTACCCGAGTTACTCATTCATCTTCATGATAACTTCATGATGTAGGTGCTATTGTCATTCCCACTTACTTAACAGATGAGGAAGCCAGGCAATAGAGAAGTTCAGGTAACCTTACCAGGGTCACACAACTAACTAGTGGTGGAGCCAGGATTCAAACCCGGAGGCTCCCTTTGCCCTTGCAGCCACTGTCCATTCCTGTCTGCTCCACAGCCCAACGGGCTGACCTCGTGAACTGCGTCAAAGCACCTCCTCGCCCTGAGGGTAACAATTGGGTTCTGCCAATGGGAGGCCTGGCAAGAGACTGGAGAGAGGACAGGAGGAGCGTGGCTGGGGGTGTCATGTCCCCATGCCAACAGCCCTCTTCTAGTGACATCCCCCTTTGGGGGATGTTCCCTTCCCTGGCTCCTCCAGGTTTTAGGGCAGAAAATGCTGCTCACTGTGCTTCACACCTCCTGCTGGTGTCCCTTAACCCTGCCCACAACCTTTGCAAAGAATCCCTTCTTTAAACTCTTTGAGGGGAGCCTCCATTTCCCGCTGGGATCCTGACTAATATTCCCAGGTAATTTAACTCTAGAGCTAGTGTTCAATGTAGTGGACATGATCCCAGGGACAGAATCTATTAACAACCCAATTACAAGCAAATGGATATTGATTAAAGTTAAAGCTGGTTCTCAGAACGTTTGTAGACAACATGAATGGCTGAAGACGGGAGTGGTGCCAGACCCAGAACCACCTGGCACACCGCTCTGCACATATCTTGTCTGGCCAGCAGTGGGCCTTCTGGATAAATGGCCCTTGACGGTTTTATGTAAAACTGTGTTTCATAGCCTAGTCTCTAATTTTCTGTAGTGCACAGAATGTTTAGTTATATCAACATACACACATATTTGAATATATTTTATAATCTGGTCCATAATTTCTATAGTTGTATTCATGCAAATAAACAATTTGTATTCTGATTTCCACTTTAAACTCTATCTTCAAATTTCTGCAGGTCCCTATGTGTTTCCACATGGATCCCCACTCTCCCATAAGCCCTGCATGATTTTGTAACTTGTCATATTCATCCTTCAAAGCCCAGCTCGGAGATACCTCTTCCAGAAAGCTGTACCTGTTCTCTCCCTCCATTGAGTCACATTTCCTTCATGGGCTACCTTGTACAGTTCCTTGCAATTTAGTGACTCACGTGTCCATCTCCTCTACCAGAATGAGTGCTCCCTAAGAACAGAGTCATCTACATCTCCCCAGTACCTTGCATGGTGCCTCAGATAGGTAAATGCTGAATAGCTGCTGAAAGAATGGACTGCGAGTAATGTGAAATTGTTAGCTCATCGTGGATAGGGAAGATTTGCTATACTTACATCTGTTTTATCTCATCATAATGCAATTAGGGCCTTAATATTTGTCAAATTACTGGGTTTCAAACATTCTGCGTTGGAGACCTACTAAACCTGGGTTCTGCTTAGTATCTCAATATCCCAGTAAAGGAGAGAAATGTGAAGCACGGTGTGAACCATTTCTTGTTTGTTCTCCATACCTGTGCCTGCCAGCAGAACAATTACTGAATTATGTAGTAATTGAAGATTCAGGGCGAGTCAACTCAAAGGACCATCTAGGAGTCTGAGTGCCCTTGAAATGAGTCTGTCTTTGAATCCAGGTATTTTGCGTGTCTGTGCACATTTAACAATGTGTGCAATTGATTGAGAATGCACAGTTTTTATCAGATTCTCAAAGGCTCTTGTGACCCAATGGAGATTAAGAACCACTTGCTCTGCAATTGTGTAAGGAGTATAGGGAAGAACGTCTCCTGATGGTGTCAAATGGCCAAATAGAAGCTGAAAGGATAAGACAGAACTTCCTGAAAGATGCATTTCTCCTCCACTTTCATACAGTAGAGCCCTTTCAGTCTGAAAGCAAGAATTGGGACATACAATTAGTTTTCCCATTTGTGATCAGGGTCTGCAGAATGTGCCTGGCAGATATTCATTGACGACAGCCCACTGCTGTACTCTGAAATCCACTACCACATTGGCCCTGAGACCTCCCTTCTCTGGGCTGTCCACAGCCAGTCACTGAGAAAAGCAGCGATGGTAAGTCTCCTAAGTCTCATTCTCAAAGACAGTGAACTCCTTTGACAGCCAACTTTAGTCTCCCCAACAGCTGTGCCGAGCTTTCCTCAGACTGTTCTAGACTAGGACATTCCCACCAGCCTGCCTTCCCCATCTCCCTTCACTCAGGGTCAAGTATCAGGGTCATTGTATTTTGGTCTGATGGCTCTCCCAGCCTTTTTTGTGCCCTCCCCCAATAAAATACTTGCACATTTAATCTCCTTTTGGCATGTGCTTCTCATAGGACCCAGACTGACACGACAGTGGTGCCTGAGCTGCAGCTCTGGCCTTTACAATGTTCAACAGCTCTGTGTTATGTGTGTTTCACAAAGGAAGCAAAGAATGTATAAATGGCATCATTCTATAACATCCCAGACTTCCGAGCAGGCAAATAAGTCACAGCTAGAAGGAAAATAATGATTTGTACTCAAGGCAGCAGATGTGATACTAACCTTTGTCAGACACTGCTACTGTTAAGTTATACTGAGGAGTATCTTGCTTCTTCAAGGACTGTTTAGCTAACTGTAACATTCCAGAAAAGTTTTCAATTAGGAAGAGTCCATCCATGGGAATTTTGGGAGTTTGATCCACAATACTATAGGTTAAAAAACTGTTGGCAGTATTTTCTTCATCCCTGTCATGTGCAGTAAGGGTCCCGATACTGCTGCCTATGAGGAAGAAAAGGAAGAAATCCAACCATTACAGGCTCCATGTAATCTATTAAACTAGTTTCACTGGATAAGCACATTCCTAGAAAACACCATGAATAACTCTGGATAACAGACAAACATTCTTAGATTTATTTTGGTTCTATCCTATCATGTTGTAGGAAATAAGAATAAATAAAAGGTTCCTCTTCAAAGCTTTCCTTCTAATTCATTACAAATAAATAACAATTTCTTCAAAGATTAATTGACTTTAGAACTTTTGCTAATAATCTTAAAGTAGCTGTTAGTCATAATAAAAAAGTGTATCCTGTGTTCTTATTTCTTACACTTTAACCTAGATATTTGCCCTGACATGCCTGAACAAGCCCATTCAAGCCTTAGGTCATAGCTTATTCCCCTTCCTAATTTGGAAATGTTATCACTTCTGTAAGCATTTCTCAGATTATCTCCTCTTTTTCTTTGTTCTCCTCTGCCTTTACCTCTTTAGAATATTTCCAAGGTTTTAGCCAATCAAGTCAAGTATAGAATGTGAGGTCCCATTCCAACCAATGGAAACTGGACACAGCAGTAGGGCAATTGCATCAGGTTATGAAAGTTATAAATGTCCCTGTCTCCTCTGTTCAGGTGTGCTCCCCTGCAGGAAGTAAAACTAGCCTTGATGAGTGACCCATTGTCTTGGTGTGGATTTTTCCCAATGTTATAAACCTGTTTCCAACAATGTAATGGGTTGAATAGTGTATTAGTTAGCCAGGGCTGCCATTAAGTATCATGGATTAAACAACAGAAACGTATTTTCTCATAGTTCTGAAGCCCAGAAGTCTGTGATCAAGGTGTCGCCAGGGTTGGTTTCTTCTGAGGCCCTTCTCCTTGTCTTGTGGGTAGCTGTCTTTTCCTCCCAGTGCCTTCATAGCACCTTCCTTCTGAACCTCCCTATGTCCACATTTCCTCTTTTTTATTTTCTAGTAAATGATGACATCAGTACTAGTTCTGGTTTTCTGATGCCCAGCACATTTCCTCTTATAAGAAAACCAGTCATATTGGATTAGGACCCACTGTAAGGACATTTTACCTTAATTACCTCTTTAAAACCCTTATCTCCAAATACAGTCACATTCTGAGGTACTAGGGGTTAGAACTTCACCACATGAATCTGGGGGAGGGAGAGGACAATGCAGTTTGGAACAGAGGGTTACTACCTCAACATATAATTTACGGGGCAGGGGGGACACATTCAGCCTGTAACACCTAGTGCTCCCTCCCAGAACTTCATGTCTACCAGAACCTGAGCATGGGACTTATTTGCAAATAGGGTCTTCCCAGATGTCACTAGTCAAGGATCTGGAGATAAAATAATCCTGGATTTAGAGGCAGCCCTAAATCCAGTTACAGGTGCGCCTGTAAGAAGGGAAACACCGAGATGCACACAGAGCGGGAGGTGACATGGAGGAGGAAGCCAGAAGTTGGAGTTATGCTACCCTAAGTAGCCAGGGAACGCCAGATGCCAACAGAAGTCAGAAGAGGCAAGTAAAGAGTCTCCCCTTGAGACTCTGGAGAGAACGTGGCCCTGCTAGCACCTTGATTTCAGAATTCCAGCCTCCAGGACTAGGAGGGAACAGATTTCCGTGGTTTTAAGCCACCAAGGTGGTGGTGATTTGTTGCTGCAGCCCTAGGACACTAATACACGTGGCAAGATCACTAAACAAAGAGAAGCCAACCCTAGATTTCTTCTAAGCACCTTCATGGAACAATTGCAGAGACTGACTCTACCCCAAAGACAGCACAGGGCAGAGACCAGGTAGGATCCTCTCTGCTATGCTGTAGTTTGTGGTCCTAAGTATTTTGTTCCTGTGAGAGTTTCAGTCCAGGGAGTTCTACAAGCCAGTGGCTATGACTTGGTCCTGTACCCAGCTCTGGGTGAGTTCTGACAGGTTCCAGACCATCCTACTCTGGTAGGTAGGAATTGTGGGTCTCTTTATATGCAGCAAGAATCCCAAGTAGGAGCTCAAACTTGAATTCATCCCATTATTGAAGTTACACCCCACCCCCCATCCACTGACACAGTTTGCATCCACTGACACATATGGAAATTTTGAGGTTTTTTGGTTTGGGGTTGGGGAGGAAAAAGAAAGTACCTATGTTATGTTTACAGTGGAGCTGGACACATGCAGTTATGTCTCATGGGCTGCACGCAGGGACCGTGAAAAGGAATAGGACAGAAGAGAATATACATCTAGTGCATATGGCATGCATATGCCCTTGCAAGAAAAGTATCTGTGTACTGGAATGAAAGAGCATCTTACTCAATTCTGTGGTCTTTTGGTGTCTCAGCAGCCCTGCTGTGGCCCTATCCCCTCAGCAGGTGAGCAAGAAACTGTTAGATACGGTGAACTCCAAGTTTTTCTTCAAAGAATTAGTATGTCAGCATGTTCAGCTCTCTTATTCTTTAATTCTCCATTTTAAAGTTTAACTTCCCTGTAATTTCAGTAAACAACCTTTTCCACCAGCTCTAATCAGTAGTTCACATCTGTTCCTCCGGTCCCCTGATCCATCCTGACTCATTCTGGTCACCGGCTCAGGTCACCTGCTTTGACCCCTGCTTACCTGCTCTGACCTGCCTGTAACCATCCTTTCTGCCAAACTACCCACCCCACCACTCCAGCTCATATCACTGCTCCCTTTAGAATAGCCAGTTGGAATTAGACTAGACTGTGTGTTCTAACCCTAGCCAGTAGGGGAACAACACAGCAGTAAGGGGTGACCTGGGTCAGAAATAAGAACCCCTTCCCCTCCCTTTCCAGGTGTGTGCTCGCCATTGTTCCATCTGTGAGCCACATCCTTCTATAGAAGTAAACTGCCTTGCTGAGGAAATTCATATTCGAGTGCTACTTCTTTTGTGGCACCAAAAATTTTACATGTAACAAAACTGAGGACACTGTCTTCCTCTCACCCCACAGGAAACTTCCATGCTGCCGGAGGCACCAGGAGGACCGCAGGCATCAGAGGACATCCCTCACTGGGAGCAGAGGATCTTGGGGATCAGTTGGAAGTGAAAGGAGAATCATGTCTCTGAGTGACTGAGGCCAGGAACAGGTGGCAGCTCAAACTGATACAGGAGTATACACAGCATCTCTTGGAAATACGCAGAAATATTTAGGGAGGTGAGGCTTTTATGAGAGTCTAAATTTTCTGTATGAACATAGAAGACTTGGGGACAAGTGGGATTCAAGTATAAATGTTAGTGTTGCTATCACGTGGGGACATGAGTCCCACAAGATACCAAACAGGAGAATGTAAATACACTGGGGAATGAAATATATGTGTGTGTGTGTTTGTATAAATATGTGTATGTGTATATATGTGTGTGTATATATGTGTATATGTATATATATGTGTGTGTGTGTATATATACACACACACACACACACACACACATATATATATATACATATAAATGGAGTCTTGCTTTGTCACCCAGGCTGGAGTACAGTGGCATGATCTCAGCTCACTGCAACCTCCATCTCCCAGGTCCAAGCGATTCTCGTGCCTAAGCCTCCCAAGTAGCTGGGATTACAGGCATGCAGCACCATACCTGGCTAATTTTTCTATGTTTTTTGTTTTGTTTTGTTTTTGTTTTTTGTTTTTAGGAGAGACAGGGTTGGCCAGGCTGGACTTGAACTCCTGGCCTCAAATGATCCACCCATCTTGGCCTCCCAAAGTGCTGGGTATGATTATAGACATGCACCTGGCCTAACTCAGTATTTTATCAAGGTTTTATTTGTTAGTATTTTCACCTACTCATGTCCTGTCAGCTCAGCTAGACGGTAAGTACCCAGGGGGAAGGAGCATTATCTTCTACCTCTCTCAGGTTACATATATAGAATATGCTCCATTGATTTATAAGAATTCCTGGTCCACTAAAGACTCTGAAACATTTTTACAAAATAAATTCTCACCTTTAGAGAGGCAAATAGCATGCTGATCCCCTTTAAAATTTATTCTACCACCAATGACATCTTCAGTCTCGGAAAACCAGCGCTATCCTCTTCCCAAATGAGGTAAGTGCCTCTAAAAGGGATCCTAGCAATCCCCATATCTCCTGATATTTGTGATTTTTCATAACTCCATCCTTTTGAGTGCAGGCTGGGCCCAGTGACTTGTTTTTAATGGCAAAAGTGATGGGATCACTCCCAAGGTTAGGTCATAGAAAGACTGACTTCCACCTTGCCTGTACTTTCCTGCTCTGCCATGCTTCTCTCTCTGCATCTCCCCTTCTCTCTCAGAACTCTCACTCCGAATTAGAGGTACCCAGCTGAACTGCACCCAGATTCCTGACTCACAGAAACTGTGACATAATACGTTTGTTGTTTTAAGCTGCCAAGCTTCAGGGCAATTTGTTTTGCCGAAAGAAGCAACAAATGCACTAAATGTTTGACCCAATGTAAAAGAGGCTAGAGGTGTCATGTTAAGGTCAAGAAAGGTTGTCAAAGATTTTCCACCTTTATTCAGTGTCACAGACCATCCCAGATTTCCCAAAAGTGTGATGGCACACATGTTTGCTGGCTATTGTGACACATTCCATTGTTACACAGTTGACACTGTGAGAAGATTCTTCCTTATAATGAACTGAAATCCTTCAGGCTGGCATTAACTCTTCCTGTTGTGGCAAGAGTTGGAATAAATGAAAGAGAGGAAATACAGTGACACAGGAAACACTGACAATAGGCAGCCCACACGACACCTAACAGCAAGATGAAAAATAATGAGCAGTGTGAGGAAGCCACTTCAGCAGCACCCACCAAGCCTCTAGGGAGACACCCACTCTGTCAGGTGTGTCTGGTGAGAGATGGGGGAACCAAAAGGAAATGTGAGCCCATCCACAAGGCATATGAGGATCTGCCCACAGAACAGCAAACCTCTAGAAATGATAGTCATAAGAGGCTGCTACACTTGGAAGCCCCTGAAATGCACACAGCAAAACAAAACAAAACATTTCAAGAAATGCCAGTCGCTCAGTCAAGGGGCTCAGTGCCAAGGGGGAAATAGACAAGCACTGTCCCAAACCCAGAGAAGCCATAAAACTCCCCGAAATTATAATGTTCTTCTAGGAGCTGTTGTATACAAAACTAACAAGCCATCAGAGGACGCAGTGAAAGAAAACACAGCAAGACAAAGCAAAACTGACAAAAACAAAGGGACTTGGACATCATGCAGCAGCCTCTTGAATCATATTATCAGCTTCTTAAAGAGGGAGGCCCAAGGGTCAAAAGTCAACTTCCATGGCCGGGCGTGGTGGCTCAAGCCTGTAATCCCAGCACTTTGGGAGGCCGAGGCGGGTGGATCATGAGGTCAAGAGATCGAGACCATCCTGGTCAACATGGTGAAACCCCGTCTCTACCAAAAGTACAAAAAATTAGCTGGGCATGGTGGCTCGTGCCTGTAATCCCAGCTACTCAGGAGGCTGAGGCAGGAGAATTGCCTGAACCCAGGAGGCGGAGGTTGCGGTGAGCCGAGATCGCGCCATTGCACTCCAGTCTGGGTAACAAGAGCGAAACTCCATCTCAAAAAAAAAAAAAAAAGTCAACTTCCATTGGTATTGCTTGCGTATTGCAGGGTGTCTGACTTTGGGTGTAAATGTTTAGATTCTTTGACAAATGTGATGAGATTAGATCTCTTTTAAATGAGATTAGAGGTCAAATAATATATGGGGAAATCCTGCAAACGAGATATCCCTATACACATATACAAGACATTAGTGTAGGTAGTTATGATACTAATGAGAGTGGTAAGGATAATCATAGCAGTGATAATTGTAATAGTGGTCGTGGTTGTTATAAAAGCGCCAGTTTAAGAATACTACTCAGATACTGTTTGATCCCAAATGTGGTACCCATGTGACTCCCAAGGTGCAATCAACCTCTGTGCTGTGCAAGACATGGATTATTGACCCAATAAAGTCTCCTGCCCTTTACCCAACAGAGGAGAGAAATGGAAGGCAGTTACACAGCATTAGGCAGCTCTCGTTTCTTACCCAGTCGTTCATTCTCCTGGACCTCAAATACGCTTACTGGTGATGGACATGTAGGTGGATTATCATTAATGTCTTTAACTTTTACACGAATTGTCAGCGGGTATGAAAGTGCTTCTCCATACTCATCCTTTGCAACTGCATAAAAAACATACTACAACAGGAAAGTCAGAGTTAAGACAAGACTCACCCATCACCCTCTGCAAAAGGCAGAGAAAATAGCTGGTTCATTTACTCCCTTATTTTTAATTTACTTAAAACTGGGAAATAAGAAAAAATGAGAGGGGTCAGAATCACGTGAAAATTATGTCTTTGAAAACCCATAATATGCTGAAGTCTAGAGTGTGTGTGTGTGTGGTTTAAGTAAAATCCATTTTGCTCTCCACTGCAGATGAGCGTGGGACTTTGTCTTGTTGCCTGTGAAACTCGCAACTGTTTTACTCACTGCATCCTTTTCTTCTCGGTCCAGGGGCTGAGTCACATAAATATCTCCTTCCTGGTCAATTGAAAATGGGAATCTTAGCCACTTCTCTTTGTCAACTAAGGAATATTGTGCACCAGGATCATTCCACCGCACCTACAGGACCCCAAAGTCAATTGTTAGGAAAGCTACATTTGAACAGAGAGAAAACTGGAAAGGAAATAATTTTCTGGTTCTCAGCTAGAAATCTCTGACAACCTTGTTTGTGTGTCTGTGGTTTCTTATAACAACTGAATTACATTTTTCACTTTCAACTTAAAATAAGTCTGTTCTCCGCCCCACCCCCACCACCAAGTTATATTGCTCAAAAAAAGCACACCAGGGAATTTTTCTTCTCTAAAGCAATTCTTCACAAACCCTCTAAAGGGTTTCTGAGTTGCTTTATTTTAGAAGTCTGACTGTGAAAGTTTCCTATCCATGAAACATCAATTTAAGAAACAAAATATACTTTGTAGCTGGCAGTGTCTGAGGACTAAGCCGTGGTGTGTGGTGAGTGTCTAACACTCACCAATGAAGATGAACAGGGGCAGTAGGGGCCACTCTAAAGTCCTCTCCATGCCATTAAGTAAGACAAATGATATAAAAATAAGGATATTCCTTTCCTAAATATTTAGTCTTAAAGACTTCAGAGATGAGAATTACTGCCAATTCCTAGAGTTGTTTGTAAACAACCTGACAAAAATAAAAAATAACACAAGTAAGACCAAACTACCGGCTATATAGACAAAGCCTGGTCTCTCTGATATATTAATAATGTTTACTGAGTTTGTCACATGGCAGACACAATTCTAAACATATTTATGTGTTACCTCATTTAATCTTCAAACAGTTCTATGAAGTACAGACTACTGTTATGAAAAACTAGGGCGCAAAAAAATTAAGTGACTCGCCCAAGGTCCTACTGCTAGTTGAAATTTCCACAGTAAACTATCCTCAGAGCAGCCTGGGAAGGTACCACAGATGCACCTTTGTCCCTTCCTAATTATTTAAACACCACCCATCCATGCAAAGACTACCATCTTGGTTCTAAAGGGAGCTCCTCTTGTGTCCTAAAAATTCACCCCAAGTTCCTTTCAATCTCTTGAGCTATGCTCCTTCTCTCTCTTCTCTTGGATTTTATAATACCCAGAGCATTTTCTCCAGGCCCGAAAATTGGGTAGGCACTCTAGAATGTTTCCTTGGCAGCCCCAAGAGCCACTAAGCATACATTCTTTGTAGCACTTACAAATCCCGATAGGAGTAACCTGAATAATAGCTAGGAAGACTTTAGTCTAGGCCCCCAATTGGAAATTTTCATGGTAATGAGTGTGACATGCTTTTTTCTAACTGGGAAAGCAGAATTCTTTCTGCTGTTGTTCCTTTCCCCGACGCCTTGAAGTTGAAGTTCTTTAATTCAACATTCAATAAAGAAATAAATAAATGTCCCTGGGCCCATCCCAATAAATATGATGGGATAAGCCATTCCAGGGCCCCTTAACAATAGTAGCATTAAAAAAAAAATTAGGGGAACTACAGACTAGTACTACGTTATAGTATTAATATCTTTTAATATCTAGCATTTTATTTACTTTTACAGATACTATCTCAGTTAATCTTCACAAAACACTGAAGTATTATCCTTACTTTATCAATGAGTCATTGGGGCTCGAAATAGTTCAATGACTTGTTTATGATCAGTCATTCAAGTAATGGGACGGAAATATGATTTTGTTCATCTGCTTCCAAATCCAGGGATCTCCCACCAACCCACAACTTTCATGTCGAGGAATCTCCTAGGCTTCTAGAAAATATCAAATCTGGGTGGGGTCCAGAGTGGATTTCCAGGAGCTAAGGTAGGAGGGGGCCCAGGGTGAGGGCACATGCCATGGAGGTGGGGAAGTAGGAGTGTCTGAATGGAGGGGAGAGGCACACACAGGAGACAGAAGGCCAGGGGTGAGGGAGTTTCCAAGTGGAAAGGTTCCCTGCTATGATCCTTTTACCCCTAGCCAGTCCTATCTCTGTCTCCCAGCCTATGTTGGGTAAGTCTGTTGGGTCAAGATTTTCTCCAACAATAAGAAGAAGCAGCCTTTCAAAACTATTTGTAACCCCCAAATCAAACCATGTCCAAACATACAATGTGTGCACCATATATGACCCACTGCAGGGCAGCCATATCCCACACTCACAGGGAACAACAAACGTCACTTCTGTCTACTTTTAAGGTGAGGGTGAGGGAATTTCTCTCTGAAAGCAAAAATGTATATCTGATGTAGTTTGGATGTCTGTCCTCTCCAAATCTCATGTTGAAAATAATCCCCAGTGTTGGAGGTAAGGCCCGGTAGGAGGTGACTGGATCATGGGGGCAGATCCCTCGTGAATGACTCAGCATCATGCCTTTGGTGATAAGTGAGTTCTCACTCTGAGTTCACGTGAGACCTGGTGTTTGAACATGTGTGGCTCCTCCCAGCTAAATCTCTTGCTCCTACCCTTGTCATGTGATGATCCTGCTCCCCCTTTGCCTTCTGCCATGATTGTAATTTTCCCAAGATCCTCACCAAAAGCAGATGCGGAGTCATGCTTGAACAGCCTGCAGAACCACGAGCCAATTAAATTTTATGAATTACCCATCCTTGGGTATTTCTTTACAGCAATGCAAAAATGGCCTAACACAATATCTGCATCCAACTTTTCTGCCCATGATGCATGGTCAAGTCCAGTGACTCAGGGCCAGGGCTATATAATGGGCTTTATAATCATGCTATGCAAAAATATATCTAATAAATGTATCAGCGAAGACCGTGAGGGTGGGTCTGTACAAAGTGAGGCCATTAATCTAGCTGGTTCTTAGTACTACCTCAGTACTACTCTACTTGGGCTTGGGTACTACCTGAGTGATTTTGATGGGGTGAGGATCAGTCGAGTTTTCCACCATCTCCACAGGTTCTGGTGCTTTCCAAATATTTTCTGTCACTAGGATATCCACAGATGTGGTATCACTGAAGGAATTCTCACTCTGGCCGCCCATGTCCTTCACTGAGACCACCAGATTATAGGAAGGATTCTTAGCAGGATCCAATTCCTTAGCTCCTATGAGAAGTAGGGGAGAAGGGAATAGGAAGCGTCTCTGGAAGAAACAGACCCAACTACTTCCTTTTTCTGACCGAGACAGTCCTACCAGGGCACCCCTGAACATACCTTCTCGGGTAAGAGAGATGCCCCCGGTTTTGTTGTTGATCTGAAAGTACATGATATTGTTGATCATGGGAAGCTGGATAACAATCTGGTAGTAAAGCTGAGCATTGGGAGTGGCTGGATCATCCAGGTCTGTGGCGTTGACGTACAAGAAGGGCTTTCCTGTTTAACAAAGCATACCCAGAAAAAAGACATTAATTGAAACCCAAACCAACCATAGCTACATTTTCCTTCTAAAAAATGGAAATAGAATGGGAAAAGGTATGATAATTCACACCAGCGGTGAAATAAAAATTTATCCCACGCCCCTTCCCTAAAATAAGATTTCTCAAGGTCTGGTCTAAGACCCTCTAGGGGTCCCTAAAACTGTTTCAAGCGCTCTATGAAGCTAAAGGTCATGTATGTGTAAATGATCCATTTAAAGTACAAGATAATTTAATTCACTTTAGTGTAAAAGAATGGAAAATATGGCATTGATATTGATTTCACTTTGCAACTAATATTTAAGAAACCACCATTTATTGAGTTTGGGCATAGTACTAAAAATGTCCAGTTACCTGAAAATACTATTAAAATATTCCTCTCTTGTCCAACTGCATCTGTGTGAGGCTAACTTTCCTTCATATATTTCAACCAAAATAGCACATGACAACAGAATGCATGTAGAAACAGACATGAGAATCCAAGTATTTTCTATTAATCCAGACATTAAAGAGATTTGCAAAGATTAAAGCAATGCCATTTTTTCACTCTTTTTGTCTTGAATATACAGCTATTTTCAAAAACATCTTGATTAGTGTTATTTTAAATGAATTAATAATTTTTTTAATTTCTAATACAGTAAATGTTGATAGATATAACCAGTGATGTATTAGAGACAGCTAATGAGACTCAGTTGTTGAATTTTCAGAAATTTTCTGTGTCAATTAACACCAGTGGTCACTTGCAATGGACCATGGTAGGAGTAATTGCAACATGGAAATTGGAAAATTCTACAAATCAGAGCTTTGTTCCCCCAAGAGAAATAGCTGTTAAGCCTTTACCAGGACACCACTGAATATAATCCAGGTGTCTAAAAGTTCTTTGGAGTCCTCAGTAAATTTTAAGAGAATATAAAAGTCCTGAAACCAAAAAGTTTGAGTACCATTCCCTAGATTCTATTAGTGAAGAGAGAAAAGGTACAGCCTGGAGGTCTGGAGGCTTCACATTTAGCAGAGTCTGTGTGAGTCTTTGGTATGCAGCCTGAGGAATAGGGACATTGTCCACATAATAAAGTGAAGTGAATTTTTTTCCTGAATTATTGAAAGCAGGCATTGAAGAAAGAGAAGGAAAAGATGAAGTAACTTAAAGAGAAGCTCGATGGTGGGATGATGCAAATGGTCCCAAGTCTTGATTAGTATTATTTTAAATGAGTATCTTTTTAGATTTCTAATACAGTAAATGTTGATAGATATAACTAGTAATGTACTAGAGACAGCTTATATTTCTGAGAACTCAGAAATCTAATATTCATTTATGTTGTGTGCATTGTTAGGAGGTGACGCTCCTTCCTAGGAGCCTGGTGGACACATTCATGCCTTATGAGGGGCTCTTGTGGAAGTGCAATGTGGCATAGAGAAGGGCTGAACCATAGCTGAGACACGAGAGAAGAAAAGAGCTGGAAACCACCAGTGACAATGGCAATGGAGGTTCCTGAGAAGATAAGGGGAGTAAGTACACCTTTCTAGAGTGTTCTAGAGCTCTGAGGTATCTTAAATCTCACCCTAGAAAACTGTTTTTCAACTAGAGGTAATTTTTTTTTTTTTTTTTTTTTGAGACAGAATCTCCCTCTGTTGCCCAGACTAAGTGCAATGGTGTGATCATGACTTACAGTCTGAATCTCCTGGGCTCAAGTGATTGTGCTGCTTCAGCCTCCCAAGGAGCTGGGACTACAGGCGTGTACACCACACCTAGCACACTTTATTATTTTTTTGTACAGACAGGGCCTCATTTTGTTGCCCAGGCTGGTCTCAAACTCCTGGCTCAAGTGATCCTCCCACCTTGGCCTCCCAAAGTGCTGGGATTTTGTGCCCCCCAACCCCCAGCAGATGACATTTGGCAATGCCTGGAGACATTTTTATTGTCACAACTTGGCAGGGGACACATAATGGATAGAGGTCAGAGGGATGTTGCCAATCATCCCACAAGGCACAGAACAGCCTCTGATCAAAAAAAGAATTACCAGGCCCAAGATGTCAACACGTAATGCTGCAGTTGAAAGACCATGCTCTAGAGCAATAGAGAGATAGTGAAACAACTCGCAGATCAGTGTGAAATGTAGGTAAGATAGTAAGTGCCTACTCAGTGACAGTTGCAGCTGCAAGTCACCAAAGTCTGCCCCTTCCACCTGACACCCTTCCTTCTTTCCATAAATATCTCTGGCCCCTGCCTGTTACCTGGGCGAGAGTTCTGCCTTACTGAGCCTTCATACTTTGACTGGAGAAACATGGGTCGATTGTCGTTGATGTCCTTCACTTCTATGGTGATGGGGACTGGACCCTCCACTATAGCTCCACTAGCATCCAGGGCTGCAACCTGATGTTGAGGGAAAGGAAAGCATGTTGATGAGACTGGAGTTCATGTCACATGCCCAAAAATCATTGGAAGGAAATTAGAGCTCAAAGAACCAATGGCCTAGTGACTGTAGGAGAGAAAGAACTCATAAAAGCCTAAATCGGGAGCTGCTAAAATGGAGACTGTATCAGTTAAGCCTGGCTAATCATGACTGTGACCTTCTAGCAGTGAGGTGTGCTGGACACTGAACATGGTCAGTTCTGGATGGCTGGAGTCCATGAAACAAGGGCACTTTGGCCCCTGAGAATATGAAAGTGTGTCCTCTTCCAGAGCCATTTTGGTGGTCAGCCTGCAGGGCCCGCAGCAGAAGTACCAAACAGAAAGCTTTTATCTCACTCTTTTTTCCATAGTTAGCTTTCTGCCTTTACTAGGTATTTAGATACCAACTGTGAAAACTAAAGGAGAATGAGTGGGAGAAGGATCTTTTTAGTCAGCTTCTGGCTATCGGTTCCTTCTGCTTCTGCCAATGCTCAAATGAGCTCCATCCCAGCACAGATACAGCCTTCTTTATGGTCTAAGCCAATGCAAGGGCCCCAGGCAGATACCACTGAAGTATCAGAAACATGTTGACTTTTGATCCAAGTACCTAAGCATGGCCTTATATGGATAAGTAATGCCGTCAGAGGGTCCTGGCAATGTTATTGGGGTTACTCTGGTTAAAAAGCCTGAAGAAAAGGATATGTTTGCCACACCCTTCTGTAGTTGGTAAGAAACGGACAAATGAGGATTGCAAAAGCATCCCATTAATGTAGGGAAAGCTGTAACTGGGCCTATGCAAGGGAGGAAGTTGTCGGCAATACTTCCAGAACAAAGGGTGCTAAAAGAGGCTGGAATTAGATTCCTTCACCTGGTGTCAATTTACCTGGAGATTATGAGTGGATCTTACTTCCCTGTCCAAGGCTCTGGTGTAATACAGAAGTCCATCCCGTTCTATCATAAATATGTTGTCTGTCTCCCCGGTTAGTTCAAAAGTCACAGCAGGAGGATTGGCCTTAAACTGGGGTGGGGGAAAAGCAAAAAATAGATTAGGTTGTAAGGGAAAAAACAATGTTGTGGAATTTGTAAAAGGTCACCAATTTCAGGTAAAATTCTCATTGTTTCAATTACTAAATAAGAAATCCTCAATTTTTAAAGCAATGCCTTCTAAAAGTTTGCTTGCACAATAATTGTGTAACATTCAACATGCATTTTCCTCAAGAAACAGTATATAATATGATTCGATACATTGACAAAACTCATTAATGCTTTAAATTGTAGCTGGGATTAAAAGAGACTTTTTGGTAATATCTGAAATCTATGACATTACTAGTTTCTAAGAAACATTAGAAGGGGTAGCTTTCTTGCTAGGATAAAATGTCATTTAGCACTACTAAAAATTGCATCAAAGAATAATAGACACATTAATGTTAAGAAAAGTTTATAAGTGGCTTCAACTTAATGCAAACGCTATGCGATAATCTATTACTTTTTCAGAAGTGAAGAAAATACCAACCACCATATTCACAGATATGGCTATGTCACTTTTAAGATCATGAGAATAGAAAATTCACATAAAATGAAGAAAACACAAAAGTTATTCAACCTTAAGTTTTAATATACTTTTATATATTTTATTAACAAATTTAAGACAATATCAATGCTAGTATGGATGTAAAGAAACATTGATGGAAATATAAGTTTCTATGATCCTTTTAGAAATAACTTGAGGCATAAAATTTTATACCCTTTAATAGCAAACATTACTATATAGAATTTACCCTAAGGAAATTTTTTTTTTTCAAACAAGTACATGCTTGTAGTGTAAATAACTTTGTTTATAATACCAGTAAGGTTGAAAACTCCTAAATGATCAAAAAAAGGACAGTGAAATTATTACGGCACATAAACTTGACAGAATATTAATCATAAAGACGTTCATTCTACAAATTATGAGGAAACATAAGAAACAATGATGTAAAGTAACAGAAGTAAATTTGAGAGTAAATCTAGACTGATTGTTAGAGTACCAAAAGAATTCATGTTAGTAGGGAAGAAATGGAATTTTTAAAAATACAAAATAGCTGATGTGTTAAATTGGTAAGATTATAAGTAAAAAAGTTTTTGTGCATCCCTGCTTGTTGATATTGTATTGTTTATATAATAAATGAAAGTGTTGCTATTTTGTGTTTTCAGAAAAAGACCTGGACATCAGTGGGAAAGGTGGAGTAAGGACCTACAGAAAACTGCTCCTCCATAAAAGCAATGAGAACACTGGCAAAAATTGTAAATATCATCTTTTTCAGAATATGGGAAATTAACCAGATGCTTGCAAAATCCAAGGAATATTTATAAAAAGAAAAAAACTACTAAATATCAGTGAAAGCCAAGTTTGTGGTGTTTTAATGCCTCCTAATCCCATGGTCCTTTCCTAAGATCTGAAGTAGCCTCGAGAACAACAGCCTCATGCCACAGTATGATGGAGAGGGCAAGAACCATTTGTATCTTCCCAAAAGCTCCATCACCAGAGAACTATCATTATCTATGCTGTTGGCATTTCCCTGGGAACACCTACTCACAGGCTTATCTTCATTTGACCTGACTCACAATTCACGCACTACACACAATTTTTCTCCTGGGGCATTTGTTGAAAACAATCATCAGCAATTGTTCAATACTGCAGTTACCTGAGACTGTGATAACAGTTGAAGCAAAGAAGCAACTGACCAAAACACTTAAAAGAGAAAGCCTGGAGTGGTGGTGGGAGTGTGGGGGTGGGGGATTAAAAAAAAGAGAAAGCCGGGAAATGAGATGCCCATAAGGGGCTTTGAAAAGCTCTAATATATTCCTGGCAATCTATAAAGCCACCGTCATGAGCAGGGCTGTGTACATGCCTGGGAAAGGCCTGAGAAGGCCCTAATCCCTCCCCTCTGGCTGACCTGGAGGCTCTGCATAAGCAGAAAAGGAAGGCTAAGGCAGAGTTGTAAACAGCCTGCCACACAGTTGAAGGTGTGTCTCAACATGCACACAGTGCCCCTTGGTAAACACCAGGCAACTTAATGACTCAAAGCATTTAGGGAAATCTCTGTCTAGTCATTAGCCGAACACTAAGCTAACTAAGCAGAGACCTCAGTGGCCAGACACGACAAAGAACACAGACTTTACAAAATTCATTCAGAAAAGTCACTAATCAAACAAACAGCATCAACAACCAACTCTAGAAAAAAGATATATGATTTCTAGAGTTGCTGCATCACATTATTTAAAATGTTCAGTTTTTGACAAATTATGAAACACACAAAAATATTAAAAATTAAGTCAATAGAAACTGTTCCTAAGAAGCCCAGATGTTGGATTTACTAAAGATTTTAAATAATCTATTTTAGATAGATTCAAAAACTAAAAGAAATTATATCAAAAGAATTAAAGTTTAAAAATAATGTCTCATCAGATATAGAATATTGATTAAAAAATAGACATTTTTAAAAATAAAATTCTACAGTTTATAAGGATAACTGAAAGGAAAAATTCATAAGAGGGTGTTCAAAAGTAGATTTGAGCTAGCAAAAGAAAGAATTTGTGAACTTCAAAAAAGATTAATAGATATTATCTACCCTAAATATGGAAAGAAAAAAAATGAACAGATCCCCAGGGACCAGTGAAACACTATCAAGCAGACAAGCACATACATAATAAAAGTTCCAGAAGGAAAGGAAAGAGTTAAGGGGGAAGAAAGATTATTTGAAGACAGAATGACCCAAAACCTCACAAATTAAAGAAAAACATGAATCTATATATCCAACAATCAATGAACTCCACAGAATAAACTCAAAGAAATCCAAACCTAGTCACATTATAAACATTTGAAAGATAGAGAATCTTGAAAATGTATGGACTCATCACATACAAAGGATCCTCAATAAAATTAACAGCTGATTTTCCATGGGGATCAGAAGGCAGTGGAATGACATATTCAAACTGCTGAAAGAAAGAGTGTCCAAGTAAGAATTGTAAATCCAGCAAAGCTATCCTTCAAAATGAGAATAAACTGTATTACTATCAGACAAAACAGACTTTAAGACAAAATTTTCAGAGACAAAAAAGGATACTCTATAATGATACAAGGGTCAATCCATCAAAAAAACCATAATGATTATAAACATATATGCACCTAACAACAGACCTCGAAACACATGAAAGAAAAGCTGACAGAAAGGAAATTAAATAATTCAAGAGTAATAATTGAAGATTTCAAGACTTCACTTTAAATAATAGAATAGAAAATTAATAAGGAAACAGAAGACTTGAACAATACTATAAACCAATCAGAAGCTAACAGACACCCAACACTCCATCTAACAAAAGCCAATCACATGGAAAATTCTCCAGGATAAGTTATTTGTTAGATCATAAACAAGTCTCAATAAATTTAAAAGGATTGAAGTCATACAAAGTATTTGACAACTGAATAAAATTAAATATAATAGAAGGAAATTTAGGCAAATACTCTTTGGTCAAAGAAATCAAAAGGGAAATTAGAAAACACTTTGAAATAAATGAAAATGAAAAGAAACACAGCATGCCAAATCTTATGGGATACAGATAAAGGAGTACTTAGAGGAAAATCTATCACTGTAAATACTTAAAGTTAAAAAAGATGAAATATCCCAAATAACCTAATCTTCTACTAAAAATACACACACACACACACACACACACACACACACACAGAAAAAAGAAGAACAGCAAAGGAAGCAGAAGAAAATAATAAAGATCTGAATGTAAATTAATAAAATGGAGAATATAAAAGCACAGGAGAAAAGCCAACAAAACCAGAGTTGATTATTGAAAAGATCCACAAAAGTGACAAGTTATTGACTAGACTAACCAAGAAAAATGAGGTAAGATTCAAATAACTAGAATCAGGAATAAAAGAGGACATACTACTATCAACCTTATAGAAACAAAAAGTATTAAGGAGTATATTATGAGCAATTGTTTTCATCTAGACAACCTAGATGAAATGGGAAAACTTCTAGACAGACAAAAACTACTAAAACAGACTCAAGAACACATAGAAAATCTGAACAGAGCTATAACAAGGGATTGTGTTAGTAATCAAACAATTTCCACACACAGAAAAGCCAAGAACCGGATGGCTTCACTAGTGAATTGTACCTAACATGTAAAGAATTAACACCAAACCTTCAGAAATGCTTCCAAAAACTAGAAGAGTAAGGAACACTTACTCAGCTCATTCTATGAGGCCAATATCCTGATACCCAAACCGGAAAAAGTTAATGCAAGAAAACTTCAGACCAATATCTCTTTTGAATGTAGACACAAAATTTGTCAATTAAATACTAGCAAACTGAATCCAGCAACATATGAAAAGGATTATATACCATTACCAAGTCAAAATTATCCCAGAATACAAAGCTGGTTCAATATATGAAGGTCAATTAATGTAATACCCTATATTCATAGAATCAAGGACAAAAATCACATATTTCAATAGAGGCAGAAAATCATTTGACAAAATCCATCATCCTTTCATGATAAAAACACTCAACATGCCAGGAATAGAAGGTGACTTCTCAGCCTAATAAAAGACAACTAAGTAAACCCCACACCTAACATTGTACTTAATGGTGAAAGACTGAAAGCTTTCCCCATAAGATCAGAAACAAGACAAGGATACTTAATCTTCCCACTTTTGTTTAACATTGTACTAGAGATTCTAGCAAGGGGAATTAGGCAAGAACAAGAAATAAAAAGTACCAAAATTAGAAATTAAAAAGTAAAACTATCACTATTCACAGACGACATGATTTTACATAGGAAAAATTCTATAAAACCTAAAAAAAAAAAACCATTACACCTAATAAACAAGTATTATAAGGTTTCAGGATAAAAGATCAATAAATAAAAATCAATCTATTTCTCTCCATTAGCAAAGAGCAATGCAAAAATGATATTTTTAAACTCCATTTACAATCAGATAAAAAATAACATATCTCA